AAAGGAGTCAACCAGAGGGGGGACCTCAGCAGACCACAGAGGTTTAAGATACAGCTGTGCACTCTGGACTACAACAAGACAAGTAAGGGCAACCAGAAGAACCATCTAGAGGGTCAATGGACCAATACAAGGAGCAGTGGGAGCAACCAAAGAGCTCTGGAGTCAACGAAGAGAGAATGAAAAACTACATTATAGCTATCAAGAGGGGCATTAGTGGGTTTTATGAATGACTTGGAGAGAGGGTTAGGGTTAGAGTTTTGTGTTCAAACCTCAAACCAGCACAGCCTTTGGACCCTTTAAAAGACGAGTTGAGTGTTTAAGAGCCAACCCAGGGGGAGTTTAACCAACTGAGTGTGAGCTTATGGGTACTGGGCCAAACTATACATCTGTCAGAATGGAAACAACGAGAGTTTTTCTCTAGCGGGTCGATGACATGAACATGTATTGTCAGATAAACTGTTTTGAAATTGCATGTCAAGATCAGCTGGACTGAATCCCCGTGTGCAGCAGGAAGGCTGATGCTGGTGACCCCCCATGGGTTCTGCGCTCAACACCGGCACTTCTCTGGTAACAGGCCTCTTTGCTCGGTGTCTTTTGGGTCCAAAGTCTCTGTGAGACTTATTTATGTCACCTACAAGGGCCCTGGAGACACACCTCCAACACTCTCACACACTTATGCATGCTCAGACTTGCTTGATAAGCTGGAAAAGAAAAGTACAGGAAAGGGATACAGTAGAGTTAAAGACTATTCTGTCATTTCTTATTTTAACCTTTTAAATCGGTCAGTCCATTTGAGATGAATTGATTTTCTTGAGGACATTATTTTTGAATCAGAACACAAAGTCAAACCTCAGCCATGTTTTCAGTACATTCTTTCTAATAACATCCTTTAGGTCTCGCATACTCCAACTTATTTTTTTAAAACATCCTGTGGATTCATTTTAAACCATTACCTTTCTTTATGCACCGTTTTTCTGCGGTAAAACATGAGTCATACATTCGTACGTTCATACCCTTTTTATGGCAATGTTATTTGTATCTGAGAGTTCAACCGTGCACATAATTCACAGAAAAAATACCAAGAAAGTGACCTTAGTGTCAGACCTGAAGTAGTAGATTTATAGCTCTTGAACGTCTTGGATCAGGCCTTTGATCCTGATCAGATAAGACGGTCAATAAAAAGAGGAAACATGGAGGGAGCGATTGGAGATGACATGCTGGAGTCCATTTGAAGTCAGTGACTGAACCGGATCAGCTCTGCAGTCAAAGTTATAAAGTGTTGACAGTCCTGTGTTTGCAAATGTAACGTCAAAAAAAATCCCACCCGGGAGTTTTTTCACGCAGTCATGTTTTCATCGCCCTCTTGTAACACTTCTTTATTTTCTCGAAGTCATTGTTTTCACGGCCACAGAGAGAGATTTGCAGACAAAAGCGGCACAGAGTGTTGAACTCCACGGCATATCACCACGTCCTCACACTGCTCCAGTGTCCTGACATGGCCTCCGCCGTCGAACTGCGTTTGCTTTCTCATACTCAGGGGAACATAAGGATCACATATGCCTTTGGCAGGAGTCCACACCCACATTCCTCAGCTATGTGCTCACAAGCGCCCTCGCTGCCCCCCTCCTCCCCCACTCCTCCTCCCCCTCCTCCCTCGCTCTTCACTCTGACACCAAAACCTTGGCCCACATTGCTGAGCGCTGTAAAGAAATGCAAACACCAAAGTTCTTTCCTTTACGCAGACGGACACGGTACATATACAGAGTGCTGCTTTTTTAAACCCACATGCTCTCGGCTGAATTTAGAGCTCTGTTTGTGGATCACACAGGTTTGTCATGCGGCTGTGACGGAATACTGATAAATGCTTTGTTTTCTTCAGCGTGGATTTAACCCCGAATGTAAAACAAAACTCTGAAGACGCTCCACAGTTTGAGGAAACTTCATAGCCAAGACTATTTATGAGACTAGTCCCTGGTGGCTCATCCAGTTAAAGGTTATCTTAAACTTACAGCTCAAAGTCAAAGGCACTGGGGCCAGAGAGGCTGCAGTTTGCTGTCTGGGGTGACTGGGTTCAGTGGTAGGGGGTGCACAGAGTGGAATGTGGCTGTAAGGAAAAGCCAGGAGGAATCATTATAGAGGAGAGACGAGACGCCAGAGCTGAGAGAGCAAGCATACAAAGAGAGAGAAGTTGAGTCTTTTATAAAACAAGCCTCTACACATGGCTTAAATCTGCTGTTCTGAGATCCTTTATCCTCCTGTGACAATGTGTTCCCTGTCCGTGATTAACTGATTGGAAATAAAACAAACTTTTCGTACGATTCTTTGATTTTCAGACTGAGGTTCGCGAAACGTTTAAACCTCATGTTTACTTGACGACACATTTAATCTCAGACTTAAACTCTTTTGTTTTTTCTTATATGATCAGTTTACATTTTTACCTATTCTTTGAACAAAACTCTGAGAACGTTTCAAAGTGAGTTGTTGTTCCAGTCTTGCCTGATACAGGATTTCAGCTGCTCGACCATACAGGGTCTCCTCTGTCGTAGTCTTTTGTCTCATAATGCCCAAAATGGTTTCAATGGGGGACAAGTTGGGGCCGTGCTGTTGTGATATGTGCAAGGTCTTCCCTGAAAAAAGGGCATTGTCTGTGTGGCAGCATATATTGCTCTAGAACCTGTTTGTAGTTCTGGACACTCATGCATCCCATCACAGATCCTGTTTTTGAACCGTGTGTTGAAAACAAGTCCGATGGTCCATCTTCTTCATGATTTCCAAAAGGAATTTAAACTTTCGTTGGTCAGATCAGACCACAGGACAGTTTTCCACTTTAGTCTGTCTCTAAGGGACTCATACTCAGAGAAGTCATGGGCATGTTTCCACTCTTCATGGTCCAGTTTTTGTGGATGCAGCGACAAACTGTGTTCAGTAGTCTTAAGCGGGGTACACACATTAAGATAATCGGGCTGTTTTTGTCCCGATTTTCCCCCTCCCAATCAAGGACGACAATCGGAAGATTATTTTATTTCGTCTAAGTTTATCCTATAAGATGATCCTGTGGTCTGAGGTGTATTAAGAGTGAATTTGTCTCGATAATTGGGTCCGAAACAGGTCTGGGCCGACAATCATAAATATTAAACTTGTTCAATATTTACGACCAAAAATCTTCACGTTGTGTTGGGAAAGCCGACGACTCCCGAGTCATGACTCTGTGAATTGACACGTGAAATGTGCCTGATTTTTTATCTTTATTTGTGGGGTCTGTAACAGATAAAAAATAGAAACGCAACACTTTTGTTTTTGCTCCCATTTTTCATGAGCGGAACTCGAAGATCTAAAACTTTTCTTTCAAATATTGTTGACAAATTTGTCTAAATCTGTGTTAGTGAACACTTCTCCTTCGCTGAGATAATCCATCCACCTCACAGGTGTTACATATCAAGATGCTGATTAGACAGCATGATTATTGCACAGGTGTGCCTGAGACTGGCCACTGTAAAATGTGCAGTTTTACTGTATTGGGGGTTAGAAAACCAGTCAGTATCTGGTGTGACCACCATTTGTCTCTTGTAGTGCAACACATCTATTTCTCATAGAGTCAATCAGGTTGATGATCACAGCCTGTGGCATGTTGGTCGCCCATGGAGACGCTTATGGTGGAGAAATGAACATTCAGTTCACAGGCATTCACAACTCAAAACCTTCAAAACTTGTGAGATCTGTGGCATTGTGCTGTGTGATAAAACTGCACCTTTAAGAGTGTCCTTTTATTGTGGCCAGTCTCAGGCACACCTGTGCAATAATCATGCTGTCTAATCAGCATCTTGATATGCCACACCTGTGAGGTGGAAGGATTATCTCAGCAAAGGAGAAGTGGTAATATTTGAGAGAAATAGGTCTTTTGTGAACATAAAAAAGTCTTTGAGTTCAGCTCATATAAAAATGGGAGCAAAATAAAAGGGTTTTTTTTTGTTTTTTTTCCTTCAGTGTATGTCTGTTTCTAAAGCCTGGAGATAATCATCACAGTTATGGATTTTGGCCTAGTTTCTTTTGAGCAGAAATTTCTCCAAATTCTCTGAATCTTCTAATAAAATGATGTACTGCAGATAAGAGGGGATCTCCAAAAGTTTCACAATTTCAGACTGTCATGATTACGAAACCATAGATCCATTTGCCCAATTCATCTCTTTGTGTCCTGAACCTCTCCTAAAGGACTCAGCCTCACTAATTGTCCTTTTGTGTTTCACTAACCTGTCGCCAATTAACCTCGTTAGTTGAGAGTGGCTTCAATATTTTGGTGTTTCGTTGGTCCTGTGATTTAACATGAACATTTATTTTACACAAAATTAAAAAAGCTTGTAGTAGCAACATTTTGATCCATTGTCCTTTTGCTGTTTTAAATCAAATAAAGGGTTTATTTGCATATAGGGGTAGCACCAACAAACCAAACTACACTGTGTAATATCCAGCTACGCCTTGATCGGAGTCTGCCTCAAGTTTTCAGGATGTCTTGTTCGGTACTGTAGCTCTTGTAACACCGCATGAGTCACTTTGACCAGGAAATGTCAGTCAGCTTATTAGCTGGAGGAAAAAACTGACTTCAGGCCAGACAATCATCTCTTCAAAATACCAGTTTGGATTCACTGGGACGAGTTTCAGAGCTTGAGAAGAAACAAATAACACCAGATTAGATGATTGTTGATCTTTGGAGGGCAGCTGATGTCTTCGGTGGTGGTTTGGTTTAATAGATCTAAAGCTCTAACTTTGTTTTGTGAGTTTATAGGTCCATGCTTAGATTAAAAAAAAAAAAAAAAGATCTTTTTGTCATGTATCCTAAACTGATATTTTCTTTGATTGAGGTTTCCACTTACAGGATTTTAAGCAGTTTCCAAGCCTCCCTCATTGAATGGAGATGACTTAAATCAAACCTGTCCTCTTAAGTGTATTGCTTAAATGAACGTCTATATATCCGTCTCACCAATGAAAAACAAATGCGACACAAATGAAACACAGAATTACATTTATTCAGGTCATAATACATTAATATTGAAAAAGTTACATGTCTTTATTGATTGCAAATCAAACAGCAAAAGCCCAATTTTTCTCTCTGTATATAAGTTAGGTGTAACAGATTTTATTGAAAATATGTAATGGGAACTCTTCCTCACGTGATGAGGAGCACTTTGTTATAAAATGTGAGTAAAAGTGCAACATCTCTCTATTCATAAAATTACGAAATTGGTCCAGAATCTGTGTTCTGAGCGAGACATCTCTCTCTGACTAAAAAGTGTGTTTTTTTCATCTTAAAAACTCCATATAATCTTTACTTTTTCTAGTAATTTGCTTTTTGAAGCTATTTTCTAAAAACTGTAGCTAAAATACAAGAAATACAACATTGTCAGTTTACAAAAGCTTAGCATATTAATCACTGCATCATCTATTTTCTAAATAAACTTCATTTTTTTCCCATATAACTATCTGAAACATAGAGTTTTGACAACAACATCACCACAATATCTCACAGCGCTATATTACAATAAAATATCTCTGTCATAAATTCAAAGAAAAAAAGGAAATATATCAATAGCAACACAAAATTAAGGAATACAATGCATAGATTCAATCATTTAAAAATGTAGAGATATAATTTACTTAGTACAGCTCTTTACTTTTAGAGTGAACCCTGTGACACTGAAGACTACATGGATCCATTACAGTTCATCCTGACTTGAGTGACCGGCACAATATATATATATCATATAATATAATTCTGAACATTATCACATGATAAAAATGCTAAATATATCACTTCAACTTCAAAGGCAGATTTGGCTCTGGCATGTTTGGGTAAGAAAGGCAACACCTGGCACCATCGCCAAACAGCAGCTTCTTTATCGGCGTCCCCAAAAGGACTTTTTTGAAATGCTAAATAATTGAATTGGACTCTTAAAGACCCGCTTGGCTGTGTCTGACCATGTGCTCTCACATTTCAACACATCACTTAAAGGATGACTCAAATATCCCCTTTGTTAACACATAATCAGACACCGTTGTTGTACCAACGCGGCGTCTTTGAGACTCACTGAATAAACACTTATTAATGTCGAATAGGCAGTTTTAGTTTGTGATCTCTGACTAACGCGGTCATCCAGCCTCTGAGTGGACCTCATGAGAAGCAGTCATCATTACAGACTAGGGGTGTCCCGATACAACGGTTAACCTCCGATACCATACTGATGATGTAGCCTTCAGTATTGTCTGATACCGATATTGATAAGATATTTTTGCACGACAAGTTTTGCACTCAGCTGCAACATCTTTTCGGACTTTAAAGAAAAATTCTCCTACTCCTTTGGTATGTTGGTACACACTGTTGTTGTTGTGATTATATAGGCTCTACATGCTTAGGGTGACCATATTCTGACTGGCACGACTGCGAGGGGGCGGAGTCACGGAGTTACTGTGAAGTTAATTTTAATTTTGTGAGTTTTTCGGGTCGAATCGAGTGTCTTTTACGTGCTTGTAACTCAGTAAGTCCATGTGACACGAAATCGAAACCGCGGACATTTGAAGGATTTTATAAACTTTCCCGGACAAAGCCCCAAGAAAGAGGACATGTCCGGGTAAAAGAGGACATATGGTCACCCTATACCCCACCAAACATCGGACATTGAAGAGACGTGCAGATCAAGTCAGTATTGGGTCGGTCCGTCAAAGAACACATCTAGACGTCAATGCGACGTGCAAAATAGGTTAGAAATTTCGACGTCCAAATTGGACCTTTTTTAGGCGTCGCTCTGACGTTTAGAATTTAGACGTCATCTGAAGACCGAATCTAGATGTCGGCACAACCTGCAAAAAGGATCCAAGATTTAGACGTCATTATTGGACCTCTTTTAGATGTTGAAATTACGTCCACATTTGTACTTCATCGTCGAAAAATACGCTAAATAGATGTCACTGACGGCGCATTGCGCAGCGGGACACGCTGGATCCGAGTGCTGCTAGATGCCTGAATCTGAGTGCTCGAAGATTTTAGATGCAGGCCGATACAATCTGATATTTGAATTTTTGCTGATATCGGACCGATGTATGATATCAATATCGAATCGGGACACCCCTATTACAGACTTTAAAGGTAGAAGAAACAATCTCTATATCACTATTTGTGACCCACAAGCTCATTAGTACAGCAAAAAGAAGGTGAAGCGGGTCCGAAAAAAAGAGCAATATACAAGCTGGATAGGATATTTAACACTTAGTGACGCCTTTCAAAAGCGCCGTCAGAAAAATTAAAGAGACCTGTTATCTAAAAGATGATTGGAGCCGTCATGTCACATGGTACAGTTCTATAAAATGTTTAAAAAGACACAGAGAAAGGTAGAGGTAGGAGGGACAGAGTGAAAGTGGAGCTGATTCTACGGAGAGCAACACGAAGGTTGAACTCGAGTTTTATCAGTCAGGCTGAACTTTTGAGACGATAGAGGAAGTTTTAAAAAAAAGTTCCGGGGACAGGCTGGTAGCTCACAGTGACAATCTCTGACAAGACCTGGACTCAGCTGGACCGAGACTATCTTTCCTCAACCTCTTCACATTCAGAGCGCCGGGATGCGTTCGAGAAAGGCGATCTACTGTCACCTGTTTATTCTACGAATTGAAGCAAAAGCAGAAAACTTAAGAATTCATTTTTACTTTTTTTTTTCAAACTGCTAGATTTGAGGATCTTCTGGACCATAAACATTAAATATAAAACTCTTTAAATCTTCAAGGCGGCAGTCTAAACCTAAAACTGTGTCAGGCACCATCATTAGGCCTCTGTGGTATTAAGGTTAAGAGTGACAGACAACTCAGAGCAGTTCTGATATCTGAGTGCAGGTTACGCACCGGTACAAATCTACATTAACCACAAATAATTTAGTCTCAAATATATACTCAAGCTAGTAAACATCTACTACATCGTCATCATGTTAATAATATACAGTCTTTAGTATGTACAAGAGTTTAGACAGTCGATTTTTACAGCCTGATTACACGGATGAGTGTGTGTGTGTTTCAAAGAGCCGGATCCAGTTTTCTCGGTGAGCTCGTTTCTGCTGCCTTGATTCCTTTTTTTGTTGTTTTTAGTTGTTTTTTTTTTGCTTCCTCTGAGTAAACACTATTTACAGTCTCAAAATTTTACTACAAGACCTGATTTTTACAAACCGTGTGCTGACATTATGTACATTCAGGTGAGGACTAAGTGAGTTTTAATGTAACATCGTCTCTGACATCGACGTGACTTCCATCGATCTGCTGTCGTAGTGATCACCTGCTGCTATCGCCTCTCTGTACACATACACAAAGTCTGATTGCGGAAACGGTAAACATGACGGTTTGTGTTGGAGCACTTGAACGGATTGTGTTGCTGCCATCTGTGACCCGAACGAGGAAACCGGAGTTTGGCTCTTCTCTTTAAGGCAAAATGTTTGGCACTTAGTTTGTACAGACGATGTGACTGTTTTGTCTTCACCAGTTCAGGGGCACTAACGGGATTCATTTTCAGCAGATTACAACCACTTCCAGTCTCCTGAAGAGATCCAAAAAAACAGTTTTGAAGCAGAATCATCATCACAAAGTCTCGATGTCTCATGTGAGTTCTGACGGTTTTCACCAAAAAGCAACGGCATGTCAGTTGATCTGGTCTTTCTCGCACCGCAGTTTCTATCCCGACACCCAGCTGTGCGTGGTGGTCTTCACTCCGTGTGGGAAACCCTGCTGGGTCACCATCGGCTCAAAGTTGAAGTCCAGGGAGTCCCCGTCCATCAGAGTGTCGTGGAGGACCGTCTCCATGTCAAACTCAAACTTCTCGATGGACATGTCGTCCAGGTCGCTGGGCAGCTTCTCGGTGTGTGAGGGCTGCTGGAGGCCGGGTCGTCCGTACCCGTTGGTGTTGAGTGGGCAGAAACCGGGCATCCCTCCTCCTGCGCTGAGGTGGCTGGCGAGGCCGTAAGGCATCTGCATCTGACTTTTGGCTGACGGCAAGCGTGCGTTGGCTCTGCTGTGACTGAGGGGCATGAGCAGGCGGCCGTTCATAGCAGGTGGTGCGGTGGCGGGGGGCTGGCTGTGCACATTGTGGGTGTGGGAGTGGGAGAAAGGGTGTGGCTGTCCGTTCCCTCCTCCCATTAGTTTGGGGGCGTGCTGGCTGCTGCTGTATGGCGGCAGCATGCAGCCCGCGCTGGACTGAGACACCACTGAGTCCACTGAGGGCATGAGGTCTCCATGCTGATCGGTGTCTGTGGTCAGCAGCTCCTTCAGAAGTCCTGCGGCGCAGCTGTACTGACCCATACCCGGTCCAAAGCCCGGCTTACTCTCCTGCAGCGTCTGCAGCGGCATGGACGATAGCGCGTTCATTCCCGCTTGGCTGTACACACACTTGCGGTACTCCTGCTGGGGCTGCGGGGCCATGCTGGGTGAGCTGTATGACGGGTATCCGGGGCTCTGCTGCATCATGGGAGAAGACGAGGCCCGGGAGGAGCACAGGGTCGTCCCGCCTCCCCCAACCTGCTGATTGTTTGGCGAGAGCAGGTTCAGGTTGTCCAGGAGGTTCTCCATGACGTTTTCAGAGCTGTGACCCAGCGAGCCCGTCATCTCCGTCAGGCTGGGCAGCGTGGCCGTCATCTTGGTCCCAGGGGCTCCTGGGTAGCCCATGTGAACATCTGCCTCCCCGAAATCATCCTCCGGCACAAAGGGAGACAGACGGTCACTCAGAGTGCTGGCGTTGGAGTCGGTCCGGGACCTGAAGCTGTTCCAGTTTTCAAAGTCATCGTTGCTGTGGGAGTTCGGGCTGCTGGGCCACTTAGAGAAGGAGCCTGGGCTGTCTGCGCCTCCGTCAGGACCGCCCTGCAGGGACAGCTGTGGAGAGACACGAAGACTCTTAGTGCACCGCAGACAGAGAGGATGTTCCAGGAGCAGAAGAAATGTTACAGGTTGGAACAATTAGGAATAAAACCACCCTGGTCTGGATACAATAGCCTTTTCAAATAAAAACCGCGGTAATAAAATCCTGAGCGTGGCTAATCAAAGGCTGATTACTGGCTTGAAAGAATGAACAAAAATATCCTGTGGAGATATTTCCAAAAGGCATAATAAAAAAAAACTGACAGACAGTTATGGTGCAGAGAAAATCTAGCATGGCCCAGAAAGTAGGGGAGGGCATCACCAGTGGCCCCACAATACGGTGTTATCATGATACTTGGTCGACGTTACAATATTATTGCGATACTTGGGCCACGATACGATATTATCGCAAAACATAGGCCACAATTCTATATCATCATGATACTGAGGCCACAATCCAATATTATTGCGATACTTGGGCCACGATATGATATTATCACGATACTTGGGCCTCGATACGATATTATCACAATACTTATACTTGGGCCATGATATGATATTATCACGATACTGAGGCCACAATACGATATTATCATGATACTTGGGCCATGATATGATTTTATCATGATACTTGGGCCCCAATACGATATTATCACAATTTTTAACATTTTGCAATACAGTGATTTTTGCAATACCAAATGTTGCGATTTATACAATTCTTTCAACTGTTTAGCTAATTTGGCTTTTGTCCTCCCTTTATATTTGTCTTATTTACGCTATGGTGACCATACATCCTCTTTTACCCAGACGTCCTCTTTTTTAGGGGGCTGTCTGGCCTTGTCTGTTTTTGTCCGGGGGAGTTCATAAAATCCTTAAAAATGGTTTTGTATGGAAGTTTCAAGTTTGTGTCACATGGACTTACTGAGTTAGAATCAGGTAAAAGACACTTGATCCGACCAAAAAAATTAACTTTGTGTGACTCCGTGACTCCGCCCCTGCAAAGTTGTGTCGAAATTCCTAATGTCTTTGCCGTGGTGCTGCTATATTTGTTGCACTAACTTCCTCCTGCTCTATGTCACCTCTGCCAACCTCACTGGACAAACAGTTGATTTTATTTTTCATTATCATAGATTTGACTTCATATTAGCAATTAATTGAAAAAAATCGATACTTGGTAAATGAGACGATACGATATATCACCAGACAAAATACCGCGATACTATGCTGTTTCGATTTTTTCTCCCACCCCTACCAGAAAGGTAAATTAAAAACCACCATTCTGGATTCGTTCTGTCGTACCTTTTTCTTTGCAGCTCTTCCTCTGCTCTTGGCGAACTTGCTGTTGTTGTCCATGGAGGCCGCCCTGCGCCGTGGTGACTTCCCGCTCTTCCCGCCCTCTGGATTAAGCATCCACCACGAGCTCTTCCCGGTCCCCTCATTCTGCACCCGAACAAAGCGGCTGTGCAGCGACAGGTTGTGTCTGATGGAGTTCTGCGGGGGGAGAAAAAAAGAGAAAAGTTCATTGAGGAGGAGTGTGTTGTTGTGTGTTTGCCCTTTTCCCTGAAACGTCCCAGATCTACTTTAGCGTAGAAGTGCTAATACACCGGTGCAGGTGGTTCTCTTTACAAACACGTAGGGCCTGACAGCTGGAGAAAGGAGAGATCTTAAGGTCAGTCAACAATCCAATGTCATTTGAAATCAAAAGAAACACATCTGCACAAACACACACACTCAATAGGTGTCAATACACTCACTGAATGAGCAATACATCCTGCAGAGAGCGAGGATTAAACTGCACACACTCTTATCTCCAAACATACTGTACATGCAGGCCTGTACTTCCCTCACAAAAACAGAGGGGCCCATTGAAAAACACCATTATACCAACAATCACATTCCACCTGACTACGTGTCTTGTCTAAACCAGCACCGATTCAAAGGGAGGAAACAGACTAATCTTTCCCCTTACAGACACATCAATGGTGCGCTTGAACGTTGCTTAGTGACGCTCTCAGTGGAAAAACTAATTTTTTGTGCAGGAGTCTAGTGAAGCATTGTTAAAAGTCTGCAAACAAGAGCGAGGATATGTCTGATAAGCAAACCACACAGAGTGACGCACCGTTTCTGTCTGACTTCACTGAAACAGTACAACTGTACCAAAACACTTTAACACACACCGTCCTCCTCCTCGGTGAATTTTGTCTGTTTTTGTTTCACTATTTTCAAACTCCAATTCGACCCAAACTGTTGCCTGAGTGACCGTTTCCCCTCGGAGAGTAACTTACACTCTTTTTCTGTGCGGTTTTGTGTCCCGGCCATAACATGAAGTAATGAGCCTTGGCCAGACGTTACTGTGCATGCGTAGAGCTTGTTGTTTTGGAAGAAAGATGGAAGTCCCGACACACACAAACACACACAGACACACACACACAGAGCTTAGCGTGCATAGTGGCTAACGTCATCAGGCCTGTTCCCACTGTGAGTCACTGCCTCACATCTGGCTCACAGTCTGCTTCTTCTCATCTGTGCCATCTCCTCACATCAAAATATCTCTGACCCAAATCTTCACCACCATTTACTACAGATTCTTTCCTCGAGTTAGAGATTAATGATCCGTTCAGTGGATAAAACGTCTAAAAAACAGAAAAGGAGGCTCATCTTTTTCCTGTGTTTTTGCCCTCAGATAGATTCTCCAAGTAAATGACCTCCATGCTTGACACTTATCTTCAATTTTTAACAAGGCATCTCATATTTTCACACAAAACCAACACAGTTTAGTGTTTTCAGCATCCTTGACTGGTGTCCACAGATCTGTAAATGAATGGGTGATGTCTGTATCGTCTAATGGTGTCATAATTTACCTGCAGCCACGAGGGAGATGCTCATTAGTCTGACAGTGTTTCATCTGATATTGATAAAGACAATCTGGCTGTGTAATGTGCAAACCAAGTTTACTACGTGTCAAACTCACACAGACTCACTTTACTACTTGTGTTCTCAGTGGTCTTTAAATTGTGGTTGTGTAGCTTTCGTACGAGCATTGCAATCTGCGAACACACACGCTTGTTCCGCGATCGTCTTCTCTACTTCTACGAGTCTGGCCTGCATAGCAGGGCTCAGGGGGCGGAGCTTGCAGTTGTGAGGTAGGAAATCTCAATGTGTCTGGACATGCTGTTTTTACTTTTTTCAGGTATGTCCTGCAGGTGATATTTTTTTGCCTCTGGTTGGCTAGAAAAGCTGGAAATGTCATCTAGCGCTCAAGCCAAACGCGGGCTGTCGGCTCTTTACATGAACAGAACATTACAGAGCATTATCGCACTTCTTAATATCCTAATCCTATTCCTTACCCTAACCCTAACCCAACAGACGATGACAATTCATAGCCATCAGGGGTAACCAATCGGAGCCCAGCACTTCTAGCCAATCAGAGGTGAAGGAGGGCGGGACCTTCCCCTACCATCCCACAAAAAAAAAAACTGCGTCCTGCAGCATCAGAAACAACAAGAAAAACATGTTTTCACCAGAGTGGGTCTTTGAGGTTTACTCAGAGGGGGCGGGGCTTGAGGCTACAGTATCTAGGTGTACAGATGCTACAACACATGTTCTCAGCAAAGTTTTTTATGTATTGATGAAACATTAAGAGCATTTTAAAACTAAACTATGGTAACTTCGAAGGGAAACGGACGATAACTTTTGTGACCTTCATTTTACGATTCGAGCAAAGTGACCGCTCCTCTCCCCTTCTCCTGCACATGGATAGCTATGACAAAAGGCGAGGAGTAAAGTCTGGTCATGAGCTTCTCTTTCCCATGACCGCGGAGAGTGCTGGTAATTTCAGCTGTGCTGCAGCGAGGAATGACTACAATGTGAGCGCAGACGCCGGGATGTCCTGTTGCAGCCCTATATCATCCTGATGACAGGAAGGAGAAGCGTACAGCTCCAGTCCCCTCTGGGCTTATGTCACAGTCGTACGCCGCTGGGTGTTGTCATGACGGAGGGTGTTTGAGAGAAGTTTTCAAAGTCTCCATGAAGGAGAGGGAGCTTGAGGGAAGGGTCATAAAAACTGCTCTGATGAGAACTGGGCAGAACTCGATGTACCGTGTGGGGAGTGTGGCTAAAGGGTGTCTGCCGGGGCCAATGGAAAGCCTCGTCTGTGTGTGTGTGAGTTACAGCTCATGTTTTCAGTGAGGGGGCATCATGGCAGCACAGTATGGTTTTAGTTTTTTTGCTCCAGTAATATTAGGGTATAAAAACACACATGAATCAGGATGAAACACAAACACACACATGCACAGACTTGCACTCATGAATGACAAATACGGCATGTTTCTTACTAAATGATATCTGTTTTCTTTCCTCTTTTCAGCATGAATGAAGATGTTTTTGCAGGGTCTCTGTGGCATCCTGTGTCTGGAAGTGACACAGATTTATCTCTGGCTGCAGCACACAGGAATCTTCACATTCCAGCTAATCACAGCGTGCAAAGTTCAATCGTAATCAGAGCCAATGTGTTAGTATCTCTTAGGAAACAGCAAAGGCAGGATTCCCAGCCAGGCAGCCGTTTCAATCAACATTCCTCAGCAAGGTTACAAAACCCGCAATTTCACACAAGTGAACTCTGATAACCCCCGTCTGAGGGCCACCCTATCTAGTGTTGTATAAAAATGGGACAATAACAACGTCCTGGAAAAATCTCTGAGAGTTTGGAGAGTTTTTTTTTTTTTTCTTTTCGTTTCTTCTTCCAAGCAGGAGAAAAAAAAAAGGATTGTGTAAGGAAAGAAAAACGAACATCCTGCTCACAGTTCAGCTTAGGTTGATGCAAATAAAGCCTTGATTTAGACTAAGGAATCAGCATTAAATCCAGTGCATAAGGGAAAAAAACATGCTTGGGTCTCTGGCATCAACTGCATTTACTCATCCTCCATTTGCATGAACTTTTGCAGCTATTGCCCTAGGGCTGCACGATTTTGGCCAAAAATAAAATCCAGATTTCTCTGAAAACTCGATTTTGTTTTTTATTTTTATTTTATTTCCCCCAACTCCACTTTGAAAATGAAAAGTTTTTCTATCATCTCTCAAAACAAAACTGCGAAAAAGGTGAAGTGCATATGCCAAGCCAGTAAGTGACGCTGTAACGTTGCCAAGGAAATGCAGACAGTTTTTAAAAGTTTTTTTGGTCGTTTCAAGACAGATGCACATGGTGATGAAGTGGAAGTCACTCTTGTGCCTGTTTTCAAAAAGTACCTTTTACCCGAAATACCGTTTCCGTGTGGATGAAACACTGATACAACAAAAAGCTTTTGCATTTAGTCCTGAATTCATTTCCGTGTGGACGGTATGATACCCCCTTCAGACAGACTTTGCAGCGGGGAGTGGTTTGCTCTTCAAAAACGATTTGACGATTTAAAATTTTTAACATCCTCATAATCAAATAATTCTATTACGATTTAAAATCGATTTATCGTACAGCCCTATAGTCCCCCCTTTATATCACTAAAGGTTAACTTTTCTGATGATAGTTTTCCTTGATGAGAATGAACTGCAACAATAAGTCATTTATTATGATCATGTAACCTCTTTATTTGAGGTTCATTCATGTACTTGTAAAAAAAACAATAAATCCATCACCATTTGCAGTATTTTTGTGCATAACTCCAACCAGGAGGAGTCGTACCTGCCACCAGTCAAATGGAATCGTATTCACTACTCTACGACATGGAGGCTGTTGATAAACAGTCTTTCTCCGAGCCCGCCGCCAGGAGCAGCACCTCTGTTCTCTGAGTCAACGGACCCGAGCGACGCTGGCAAAACAGGGGGAAGTGACCACATGAAAGAGGACTGTGACAGGAAACAGAGCTGACTTCCTGCCTCACAGGAAACATGGCGGTCATGAGCCGCAAAAAAAAAAAAAGGCATGGAATGTGAAGCTGCAGCGCCGCCGGCCAAGTGGACAACGCAAATTTAGCCTTCGACCCCACCTCCTCCACACACACACACACACACACACACACACACACACACACACACACACACACACACACACACACACACTTCAGTAGAGTGTATGTGTAGCATAACTCTGATCCCTGATGTCACACTTCATCTATTAAATGAATGTTGGCTTGGTCATGTGACCGCAGAAACTGAATACAAGTTTGAAGACGTCATGACTCAAGGGATGGATGCGGTACGGTCGTCTCGTCTGTGCAGGAGTGTGTTGTGTGTCATCGTGAAAAAAAGAGTGTGTTTTTGAGCGTGTGCTGTTTGAGAAATGTAGAAAGAGGGTTGTGTGTGACAGAGTGGGCATGGATCAGTAAAGAACACACTGTGCCGCTGCATTACACTCCCTCACTGGCAGCAGCAGCACTACTGAAAGGCCACAGTGTTCTGTCTGTGCGGCTCTCTTTTCTCCTCTCATTCCTTCTCTTTATTGCTCCTCTTCAAACGCCTTTCCTTCTTGCCTCATCTTACCTCCTCTTCCCTTCTTCCTTCACCTTAAATCTCCTCTTGCTCGCCTCCCTTCTCCGCTCTGTCTTGCTCCCCTCCTGTCCTCTGTTTACCTCCCCTGTCCTCTCTTCTTCTTCTACCCTCTTGCGCACAGTGGCCAAGCACCTTCGTAAAAACAGAGAGGTGTGCCAGACACATGCCGACACACTGACCGAGGCCCTGACGCTCTCAGAGCTGCTCAAATGTCAGCTCAGCTAATAAAAAATAAAATTCCCCGGCAGAGCGAAAACACCACCTACATGCAGGCCCTGCTCTGAATCAAGAGAAGCCACAAGTGAAACCTCAGCTGCAGAGCTGCTGCAGCCTCAGGTACAGAGAGTCTGCAGGCGCACACTCACGCACAGGCGGCTCTCAGAACTGTTTCACATGAAATTATCAGAGATGATAGCGAGGAAAGTGAAAAATGTGGTTTCTCTGCACTCTTTCTACAGAACTCATCTGTAAAACAGCGCAGACCTGCGCAGACTTTCACACCTTTCAAAGTCCTAGTCCTCTTAACTGTAGGTGTGTGTTCCTACACTCTGACTATCTATTTTCTGTGTAATGTCTGCGGCTGAGAAGACAATGACCTATAGAGCGTGCAGCACTCTTTTTCTCACCGCCAGAGTAAGCGGCTGTAAAGCTGCAGCTTGCTCACGTCTGGAGCTTTGTGCTGAGTCTGGCTGGGTTAGATCCGTGTGGTTTAGACAGAAAACCTGGAAACCTGTGATTAGTCTAACACCAGCTCAGCAGGTCTGCCCGCTTAACTACAGCATGTATGGAGCTGAGCACGCGGCTGCAGGTGAGACGGCGGGCCGGCCGAGTGATGACAGTTAACCACCTCATCACTGTCTTAGGGTCAGAGGTCGTCACAGCTGAACCTGTGGAGGGTATATACCAGTAACATCATGATTACTGCTGTCACTTAGGGCTGGGCGATAAATTCAATTCAACCAATACCGGAATTTGCGACAATAACTGACGTCATTTTGTCCACATAAATATATTAAGGGACAAAAAATAAACAAATAAAGGTTGTTTTTGGATGTTTGTAAGAAGGCTATGGTCTCATGTCCCTTTATGGAGGGGAGACCAATGGAGGACAGTTAAAAAGTTTTAGCAGCTGAAGTAGACGGAGGTAATGTGGGAGGGGGTGAGCAGCTTGTGGAATAGTTATCGTCCATTTATATATCATGATATTGATTTGAGGCCATATCGCCCGGCCCTACTGTCACTGTTATAAACCCACATTTATACAAGCAGACTCTGAGATTTAGCCAAATTTAATGAATTGTGCTCAATTTTGACTTTTTACCGAGAGTTTTCTACGTTTAGAAGTCTTCTTCTTCTTTGGCGGCATGAGGCCTTCCTGTCTCCACACACCAAGCACGAGTAAAATCATTCGCGCGAATGAATTACATGTTAAGTCAATGCAAAGACGCGAGTAGACGCTCCTACTAGTCTGGTGGCGCGAATTAAGCGAATTGAGCGTGAGCTGAAAATGTCTCAGCATGAAGGTCGCCGAGTGACGTATGGAAACTGACAGTCGTTCAGTGATATCTAAAATTGAGGACAAACTGATTGTGTCTGTGTTTTGGTGCCCCAAATTATTTGATACCTTTTCTTTCAATTACCGAAACCAGAATAAAAAGGAGCTCGCCTGGAGTGAGGAGGTGGGATTACCTGGTGAGTTGTTAAAAAGCTTTTGTCTATCACCTGCTGGTTGAATTGGCAGATTTTACCGTTGAAATTACCGTTGACGCGCGAATGAAGCGAGTAAATACTATTCATTCACGCGTCTAGATTCGCGCGAATTAAGCGAGTAGATGATTTTACTCGCGCTTGGTGTGAGCGCTCCATTAGAGTTGCAGGGTGAAAGACGGCCTGAAATCTTTGCTGAAGCTGATCAAAAATGGTGGTGATGAAGAATTCAACTAGGCAGAATCTGAATATCTATTAAAATGACAATGACATTAACCTTTTGAGAACATCCCTCAAAGATTTATTTAGGAGCCTTGAATTGTCTGATTAAAATTAAAACTAGTGTTCGTTTTGTTCGGGCATCAAAAAGTTTTCCTGTTGGAGACAAATTTCTAACACACCTGTCAGAAGATGTTGATCGAGCCTCCGATGACCAAACTCCAAGACTAATCAGAGTGATGACTTCATGTGTTTGCAGTTTAACAGGTTATCATCAGCAGCAGCATTATTGAGCGGCGCAGAGATAATCACTGACCTATTTGATAAAGCCGATCATTATGAACGGCTGTGGGAATAAAAACAAAGCAGAGGAAATGTTTGCATCGTTATTGGAATGGTTAGTTGCTGTCAATGGGGTCGCACAGCGCCTCGGGTCCGACCTGCCGAGATAACATCAGCGTGTGGCTGTTAGCGACGATATAAAAAGATCTGTCCCTTTCTAAAAAAAGGCTGAAATAAAAATAAAAAAGGAAAGTGACCCTAGGATATGGATCAGACCAGAAATAGATCGTCTCTGCGCTCCCCCTCCTCATGCTCGACTCCCCTCCTGTCCTCTTAAACTCACTCCTCGAGGACATCATGCGCATCGGTTACGGGGCACAGCTGATCGCACACTTCTGCTGAAGAGAGAAAAAAAAAGGCCCCCTTCTCACCTGCTGACGTCAACTTCCCATAATTCAATTGGGAGCAGGGAGAGCATTGAGCAGGCCCGGACACAGAGCGCTCAGTGTGGAGCTGCTTTAATTCACTTTAGAGTTCTGTGAGCCCATCCATGCGGCGCTCGATGACTTCCAGGAAAAGTACCTCTTCAACATGGTCATTGTTGGATGGACGCGGAGTTATATGAGCGTCGTAAAGCGCAGATGGAGGGGCAGAAAACGCAAGTCATGCAGAAGCAAATCTGTCTGCAAATGTATTTACTGACGGCCTCTTGGCAGGATCTCCTTTTCACAATCCTCTGCAAGGAATCTGAGTGCACCCAGCTGCCCTCCCCCCCAAACACACACACACATGCACATACACACACACACACGGGGAGCTGAACTTGGACTCCTGAGCGGATGATGACTGGTTGAGCTTAAGATTGATCGGCCTCACAGACGAATGATAAACAGCCTGTGAGTGGTTTCGAGTGAACGCCGAGGAGCAGAAAAGCCACTGACACTCCAGGATCTTTCATCGCCGGGTGATAGTGTGAGACCAGCGGCCGAGTCAAGGGGCTATTAGCAAACTTCCTGCTGCATTGTATCCACACAGGAAGAGCTGGCTGGTTCTGATACTGATCCCACTGATTCCTCTGGTTTCAGAGCTAAACAGAACAGACCGAGACCCCGCTTAATGCAAGGCAAGCTCAAGAAGAAGAAAACAGCGGGTTCAAGAGCTGTGACTTCCTAATCAAAACTCAGCCGTCTGACGGGGCAAAAACAAGAGGAAAAAGGAAAGAGGGGGCCCGGGCCAGGTACGCTTTTCGAGCAGGATTACAACGGAGGATAAAGCTCTTACTGTACATCTCAGTAACAGTTCCCCACTTATGATTTGCCCTCATTCTGGAGCCAAACAAACACAACTCAGAGAGGGCATAATAAATCATCTTCTGTTTCCTTCAGTTTGACCCTATCTGACTTTTGCACAAATGGCATCGCTCGAACTTAAAGCGGCAAAACAAAAATGAGCCCGACGATCAGAAACAACTGTAGATCTTTGTTTGTAGGAAAAATTTTAATTTTACGGCAAAAACAACGAGATGAGGAGCTGACAGGAGCTGAAATTAGGTGCTTGAAAACATACTCCTATTTGGCTTTTCCGGGCTTTTGCAGTCTGCAGCTGAACGTGAGTCATATCCTTGGATTCAGAAAAGAACTGAAAATGCTGTTGGTATCAAGGCCTTCTTGGTTTGCAGGCGTAGGGTCACCGTTTACCCACCTGTGTCACCAGGTAACATCAGATCTCTTCAATTAGCTCAGAGTAGGGCTGGGCGATATGGCTTCAAATCAATATCACAATATATTGAGCCTCGATAACAATAATTGGACGACAACTACTTCATAAGCTGCTCACCCCCTCCCACACTGATTTCGTCTACTTCATCCGCTACAACTTTTGAACCGTCCTCCATCTCCTCACCTGTCTTTCCCTCTTTGTTAGGGACTGGATGGGCTGAAGTCACGTCTCTGACGTAGGACAGCGCCTTAAAGGGACATGAGACCATAGCCTACCTACACACATCCAAAACCAGCTTTTACTTTTTTGACACCGAATATACTGACATGGGCAAAAAAGTAAATTTCAGTAATGGTAAATTTTCAGTTTATCGCTCAGCCCTAACTGACAGCAGTAATCATGAAGTTACTGGAATTACCCTCCACAGGTTCAGCTGTAGCGTCCTCTGGCCCTATGAAGACTGAATCTATACATTTTCGGTTTACCGTACAGCCCTAGTTTAAAGGTTTCCCCCCTCTTTCCTTCGGTTTGTGTTCTTCCTCTTTAAGCTCAGGCCTGAACAGCTGCAGGCAGAGGAGAACTTATGTTTCACGAACATCATGGGAAGAAAAAAAAGAGTTTCCTGAAAACAAAGTCAGAGAAGGTACACTCACACCTGCGTCACTCTGTGGAGGTTGTCGTGAGAAACTTTTCAGCTGATGTCACTTTTCGCTGATCTGGTCCTCTACATGCTTGGCAGATATCTTCATCTCTTTCTGCTGACTTTCGATTTTGGGTAAATTTAAGATTTTCTGCAGCTGCTGATGTGACACAAGCATTAACAGTTACAGTTACAGGACTTGTTTTCTTCCTGGGTTAGTGTAATGTGCAATTCAAATGAAATGCAAATCGTCTTTGTTCATAAAAATAAATCTAACCGCAGACTTTTAAAGTCACCTGTCCTGGAAAGCCTTTTTTTACATGTCTGCCTCATGATCCTCAGCACATTTTCTGCATTTTTTCACACACGCTTTCAAAATCATTTCATGTTTCCTGCAGCCACGGCTCGGCTCGGCTCGGCGTTCACATGCTGCTCTTTCTTTCTCCCCTCTGTGCTCCCTGATTTCCTGACTCAGACTGAAACAGCACGCAGCTCATGTGTGCAGACAGGGACCGGGTTGTGCTGGCTAAGCTTACCATGCTAAAATATGTGCATGTGTTGCTCCCTGCAACACAATGTGAGTCTGTAAATGCACAGAGCTGCGTCTGTGGAGCGCAGTTATTTTCTGCCTCTGATCAGCAGAGCGGCTGAGCTGCTGCCCGCTCCGCCCGGATAAAGATGCAGTGTGTGCTGTGTGTTTGCGAGGGTGTGTGTGTGAGTGTGTGTGTGTGTCTATAGGCCTGAGCTACCACACCGGAGAGTGTTTGGGGGTTACAATAATACACGTGTTACCCCACGTTACAACACTGAGAGATCCCCGAGCTGTTATTTTTTAAAGAAATTAACTTCTTTTCTTGATTTTTTAAGGAACTGTTCATAAATTTAAAAAAAGACAATAGAAAAAATTGGAAAAAGCGCAGCTCTGACGCACCGCTGTGATAAAAATTACAGACTACGTCACCAAACTGAACGAGAACATCACTTGCAGATGAGCCCTGAGTGCACTTCTTCTTCGTAGGACTGTTGTTTATTCATTCAGTCGTTGCAGTCCACATTAGATATTCCATCAGTCTGTATGTTTGGTTTTATTTGCTAGTTCTAACTTTATGCGCTCCGTTTTCAGAGGAAAACACACAAAAACACACACAAATATTATGAGATTGTAGTGGAGCCATTAAAGAGCTTTTACCACCAAGTATTTTTTCCCCTGTGGGCCCATTGTAGTAAAAAAGGAAATAACTGAAAGAAAGAAGAAAGAAAGAAAGAAAGAAAGAAATATGTGCGATTTTTACAGAAGGAGCTCAAGGGGACTTTAAGTGAACGACGAGTGTTTAATTTATAACCGGACTGTGACTCAGCTCACTTTTCAGGGTTGTTTTAAGACGTTTTCAACAAAAAACATGTTGTTAAAAACACAAATATTGTTCTGATCATCACATTTACGCATGAAGGACATTTGTAGTGTCGAGTATGATGTCTGACCTCAGTTTTACGCCATAAAAACAGAAGCTCAGTGATCACAGAGGTTTTAAAAACAGTGTAAGAGAGTGTAAGTGTATTAAACAGAGGGCGCTCATCAAGTGTGACATTAAATCTGGGCACAAAGACCTCAACTTAAGGTCAGAAGGTTCCTTTCCGAGCAGGTCAAGACTGAGCGACAACCTTCAGTGATGAAAATGAAGATGTGCAAAAAACTCCAGGACCCAAAGAGCCCACTTGACCCAAATGTTGCTCATAATCAAACTCCAAATATTACAGCAGAAGTAAACATGCCCTCAGGAAAAAAAACAAAACTGTTTTTATCGCATCTGTTTAAGACTGAAATCTTGCATAACTCATCTTTGATTAAACTACGACTGGAAGTAGGGCAGCTCCCAGCTTTGACCCTTTTTCCACCTTTCTACATCTCCTGTCATTCTTCACCTGAGAGACAAATTCAGGAAAATAACTGCAGAGAATAAAAGGCTGAGAGATCCGCTCGTAAGGTTAGGGGCGTGGCTATTTTGACAGACAGGTGGGTGTGCTGAAGCTCCCTGCCTGGAGGCTACAGGCCTGCCTCAACTCCACCTTTTTTCCGGATTCTAGACGAGCCAAAAGTTAGTTGGATGTAGGGCTGGGTGATATGGCCTCGAATCAATATCACGATATATTGATCAGTTCACCTTGATAACGATAAATGGACGATAACTGCTTCATAAGCTGCTCACCCCCTCCCACTTTAACTTTGTCTACTTTTGAACCGTCCTCCATCTCCTCACCTGTCTTTACCTCTTCGTTACGGACTGGATGGCCCTACTTTTCCAATTGGGCGACTGTCATTTTTGACCTTTATATTGTTGGTGGGTGATGCTGCCGCGGTTACCACCACATTTTATTTAGACTCTGGTCAGAACAGGAAGCAAAAGCATCGACTTTGTGTCTGTGAACTTATGTGATGTTGTCATATGTGAGCACACTTGTCTCAATCTGCGAATTTTAAATTGTTCCAACCGTGCAGTGACCCTGATCTGTTTCCCATTCGTGCACAATGAAAAAGCAAACCAAAGAAAACACTGAAAGAGGAAGAAGCCCGAGAATCTGGCGTCACGTTCAGAGTTGCTTCCTCTCCTGGTGACATCACTGCCCTGCTGCTGCTTTCAAAGCCGCCACTTCCTGTCAGCTACAGGGCCGAAGTCTGCTTCTCTTCAAAGAGGGGGAAGTGAGAGGAGAAAGAGGGGTAAAAGAGATAAATCACAGAAGCTCTGCCAACGTAAGTGTGGACGTTCAAGGACGAAAAATGGCACCATCAGGGCTCGACAGTGTGACCGTTTCACTTACATTTGTGACTAAAAATAGATGTAATAAATGTGTTTAGGGGCACATGTGCGAATAAAAAAATCAGCCAAGGCGACAAATTTTTCTTCATGTAAATACCACAATGAAGTTAGTTTTAGGTTGGATATTTGATGGACATTCACTGCAGATCTACCGGTGTCTCCTTATTCTCCATAACCGGGGATGGCAAGAGCAGCGCGGTTAAATTAACGCTGTCGCTGTCAACGTCGGGTGTTGAATAAGGGACCGTCAATAAATTACCAGTCGATGCTCTCAAAAAAAGGTTGTTTTCCTTCAATAGCTTCCATGTCATGTGACCAATTGACCTAAAGTTGATTTCAATTAATAGTACTAAGGTCAGGTCGGCACAGTGGTGTAGTGGTTAGCACTGTCGCCTCGCAGCAAGAAGGTCCTGGGTTCGAATCAGGGTCAGGGCGTTTCTGTGTGGAGTTTGCATGTTCTCCATGTGTCTGCGTGGGTTTACTCCGGGTACTCTGGTTTCCTCCCACATCCCCAAAAACACGCAGAAGTGGGGTTAGGTTAATCGGCCACTTTCAAAGTTGCCCGTACGTGTGGATGGTTCTCAAGAACATGGATCACCCACTTCACAACACCTTGGTGGACCAAAGGGCCAGTGGTGGTGGACGGCTCCTCTTTCTTCACTGCAGGACAGAAAGATTCAGAAGATCTTTTGTACCAACAGCCATCAGACTTTATAACTATTATGTAAATAATAGAGAACTTTTAACGTGAGACAACAGACAATTGAATTTTCCTTCAGGGATCAATAAAGTTCTTCTTCTTCTTCTTCTTCTTCTGGTTGTTCGTCATTCCTGCAATGAACTGGCGACTTGTCCAGGGTGTCCCCTGCCTTCACCCAAAGATGCTGGGATAGGCTCCAGCCCCCCCGCGACCCCGGGAACAGGAATAAGCGGTAGAAAATGGACGGATGAAGTACTAAGTTCGGACAATAAGACACTCTCTTTATGTCACTAATTTGTCCTCTAAAAATTTTTGTGTTACTTCCATTACGTGTGACCAATTGACCTAAAATCGATTTTAAATAATAGTACTTAAGTTTACTAATAAGACACACATTATTTAATCAATTTTTATTGTGCCCTGAGAGTTCTTTGTGTGCTGCTTCTGAAAAAAGTTAGTGTCAAGCCCTGATCATAGAAGAAGAAGGTATAAGAACATCTACTATATTTGGACACCTTTAGGAAATCTGATGGCCTAATTCTAACTCTCTAGTATTCCTGACCTCATGGTTAAAGCGGTAATGATTATGACATGCCATGACTCATAAAGAAATCAATTCATGACGACTAATGAGCGGTGACTCACGTCTTCACACAATGAAGCAAAGATTGTGGATTACTATGATGACGACACAAATACCAGTGTCGTCAGCAGCACATCAAAGATCCTCTTTTCTTCCCTCGTTATCTCTCTCTTTGTCAATCACTTCAGCCGAGATGTGAATGAATCATTGAGAGAAAAATGAGTCCACATGTGGTGACACGTCTAATCTGTCTGACTGGCACGGCTGTGTTTCCTTGAATCAAACGCAGGAACTCGGAGAGAGGCGCCAAACTGAAAGATACAGAGAGAGGGAGCTACATTTTTGTCTGTCTCGCTATCAGTCACGGGGAAAAGATAATAACGTCCCACACTTTCTCTCCGGAAACCTGAACAGAGTTTTTTTAACCCTGCGAGGAGAGAGTAACGTCGGTTTGACGCTGGCGGCTGGTGACCTCTCCTCTCACTGTGCCTCTTTTATAAGAACTACGTAAGCCAACACAATACAGACAATAGTGCCGCATACTTGTGACACACTGCGAACCTGAATGTAACACACCTGAGGGCGGTTCGGATCTCTAAACAAACTATCAGTTCCCGTGACAACAGAAGCGGGGAACCTGCTGCGTGACGCGCACTCACCCCCGGCGCGTTTGAATGTCCGCCCCTGGCAGCCGGGGTTCCAGCGAGCGCTCATGTATGTATAATGGCACATGCATTGGGGCATGTGTGATTGTGTGATAATGGCGGGCCAGCCTGACAGGCACCGTGCATAATCGTTTTAGGGCGGGAATTGCACAACAATGTGGGTCCGGGTAATGCCTGTGGTTTGGGGCCCTCAGCGGTGAGCGGTCCCGTGGAAGTGATGCTCCGCTCTCTCTCGCTGTGTGACTGCACAAACCACACACACACACACACAGAGGGACACACACATACACATGAACTATGAGAAACTGGGACACCACTTTTTCATGCGAAGAAGCGCAGAGGCTTTCACTTCTCCTTCAAATGGTCAAATTATTCAAAAGCTAAACACCAGTTCCTCTTCTCACACGCTCAAACAATGCGAGGGTCTTCCTGTTAACCCACCGGGACATTTTTCAGATTTCTCGTGCCGATGGGAAGCTGTGATGGCAGACCGAGCTGCAGCAGACTCTGTGAAACAAACTGCGGAGCCCGGGCGGACCCTCTGCCAAAAACAGAGCGTCACGTGCTCTCCCTGCTACTACCGAAGCCGCTCGGAGAGAAAAACAAAACACTCTGACTCATCCTGAATGACTGTTTACCTGACTCCTGCTGGATGTCAGCTCTGTTTTTTTCCCCGCAGAGCGTGGGCACCTGTGGGCTCTGTCCTGCTGAATGATGCACTACTCTCTGCCTGTATCACTTACACTCTCTGTGTAGTTAGTGGACACCACGCTCCCTGAATGATCCATCCTCTGGTCTGCAGCCAGAAAGAGGACAGACAAAACAAACCTCTGGCAGGGGGAGCTGTGGTGTGTGTGATGCCAGCGTCTGAGGTGGGTGGAAACACCCTCGTACACAAACGAGCTGTTTTTGTTTGAAACCTCGAAATATAAAAAGGAGCACTTTGCGGGGATTTTCCTGGGTCTTTTCCAGCGAGATAAAGGCTCTGAGTGGGAAGTTTCCAGCTGCTGCACCAGATGTGTCTCTCACCGTGGTTTAACTGGAGTATCTCATATATAAGTTAACATCTGACTCTGTTAGCTGCTCAAGTCAAGTGTCTCTAACTGAATTCTTGAAACTGGAAACTAAGTTGGTACAACGCAAAACTCATGAGCTCATCCCCCGTCTTCTGTCTGCAGGATGCTGTGAGAGAACGATGGCAAACTTCCAAGACGTGCAGCTCTGAAGGCGCGGCTCAGAAAGTGGAGATACCAGGTGAGGGGGGGCAGCAGGTATTATTGCACTCACTCCCTTTGGCCTTTTTTCAGACGTGTCGTGCACTTTGAAATATTTCCAGAAAATTTCATGAGCTCAGAAAACTGGAAATGTACCTTCTGTACTGTCCAAACCTACACCTCACAGACCTCACAGACCTTCGAACGGGGAGACGCTGTTAGAGTCATGAGGTAATAGGGCTGGGCGATATGGCCTCAAATCAATATCACGATATATTGAACACCTTGGTAACGATAACATTAACCTCCCACATCAACTTTGTCTGCTTCAGCCGCCGCTACAACTTTTGAACCGTCCTCATGTCTCTGATGTAGGACAGCGTCTTAAAGGGACATGAGATCATAGCCTACCAACACACATCCAAAAACAACTTTTATTTATTCGTTTTTTTTTTTTGACACCAAATATATTGACAAGGGCAAAATGACATCAGTTGTTGTTGTGAATTTCAGTATCAGTAAATTTTCTGTTTATCGCCCAGCCCTAAATGACAGCAGTATTCATGTATCTTACGATGAACCTACTGGAGAGGAGAAGTGAGTAAAAGGCCATCTCACTACCTTCAAACAACAACACAAACCGACCACTTTAGTAATCGATCTGTGCGACAGCAGCAAAATGACACAGAACACCGGCTGAGTGATGAACATCCACCTCCGATACAGCTTCCCCCGCTGTTACTGGCAGGGTCACATGGACTTTACCTTCGTATGATACTAAAGGAGGAGCAGGAAATATTCCAGGTGAAGTTGGAGTGAAAAACTCGACACATACAGCTCATCTGGGAAATTTTCAGGAACCTCATGCATGTGTGAAAGGTGCTAGAAACAAATGACTAGGGTGACTTATGTCCCTGGTATATCTGCAAAAACACAGCAAAAGTGGGTTTAACTTAATACGTCCCGTTTAAAGGACACATTTTTAATCTAAAATACAGAAAATCCTGCCTCTCATGCAGACACTGTGTGGCTTTTTGTCCTGAAGAGCAAAATAAAACATCATCCTCTAAAATAAAACAAGATTTATGACAGTTCTGCATGTTTTGGGGAAAATTGGAGCACTGACCCGACAACATCTTAACCACAGACAGTGAAGCCTCTTGGACTCAGACGGGTATGCAGACAGACATGATCGAATGTGTGTGTTTAAAGTGTCTCCCACCATTTCCTCCTGTGCTTTCTGGACACGCCGTCAAACGTTTAGAGTCAAACCCTGACCCAGACAGCACCAGCTCGGGGGAATCAATCATCGATACGCGTTTGAGGTTCTAGTTTAGTGACTTCACAGCATCAGAATGGCTGCAGCCATAAATACGCACACGTGTGCCACACACAGACGTAAACACCATTCGATACCCTCGCTGCCTGCGCCACACTGACCTGCTTTTCCCGCTGCCTCTCTCTCTTTTTTTTATTGCGGTCTGCTGAGGATTGAGTCAGTGATTAATAAATGTGTTTGGTAGAGGCGGACAAAAACAGAGGGAGAGAGGCAGACAGGAAGAAAACATGGGGTTGTGAAATAATCCGAGGGGCTACTCGCTGCAGGCTGTTGCTCAATCATATCGGTGTTGACGGGGACTTTGACATGGTCGTATTTTTTACTCATATAACTGTTCAAAACAATAATCTGAAAACACTAAAAAGGGGATCAAACCTGCAGAGAAAAATCAACCAAGTTGGCTGCATGTCCCCAAATGTGCTGGATTTATTTTCCCTCCTTTTTTCAGCATCACCACCTTCAGTTTCTGTTTATTTTTTTGTAAGCCAATCAAACAAATCCTCATTAATTGATGATTTTAAAAGTATTCTTTATATTTAGCCGCAGCCTGGCCACGTCAGAACACACACCACGATTCACAGCTGCTTTTTAACGCTCATGCGGTGCCATCGATGGTGACTCAGCACATCAAACACTGAATGGTATGAAGAGTAAAGATGGGGGGGTGAAAGGAGAAACCGGATTAAGATCAGCTGCAGAGAAAAAGGAAAGTTAGAATAACCCGCCACAATAAAAAAGATATAAAAGTCTGCAGGAATGTTCCTTGTGCCGGCTCCACTGTCTGTCTGCCATCCAGTCTGTGCATCTGCCAGCAGCAGGGCTTTAATTATGAGGCCCAGGTTATGTGCACACACTCGTGCACACACACACTAGCGTCCCACATATCTCTAACACAGTGCCTCACAGTTCCGCTGACTAACCAGTGGCACCAGACTTTGGCCTGCGGCTCCCTGATTCCAGTAAATGTCTTGTTATGCAACTCCTAACAAGTGTCACCCAGTTTGAACTCAGAGCGCTCCGGGTCCCTGCTGCTGCTGCTCCCGCATTTTCCCCCGTATTGCTTAATTTTTCTCTGAAGACAGTTAGCAGGTAGCTCATTTGGATTTCATCCAAAGCGGGGAGGGGTTACAGTAACCCTTTTAAAACCATAACGCGCGCCTCGCTTTTGAGCAGAGGCAGAAACCAGGACTGCGGAGAGGCCGGCAGGCAACGCAGGCAGGAAATGGGGAGGGGGGCGAGGAGGGCTCCTCCAGCTGAGGAACACAGCTGCCCCTCATGTCTTGGGGCAGTGCCAGGCCTGGACTCCTCGACTGCCTCAGAGGGGTGAGATGTGTGTGAGAGCGACAGGGGGAGTTGAAATAGGAGGATTGTCTCTCCGGCTCCCTGTCCTACTAATACACATCCAGACTGAGAGAAACAGGCAGAGGAGGAGGAGGAGGAGGAGGAGAAAGCACAGCCAGCTTTGAGCTCACTCAGGATTAGAAAGCTGGAGTTCTTAGCTTCTGTATTTCTTTAAGCTGTGCTTCTCGAGTTCATGGGAACTACATTTCACATACTTTTTAAACACACTGCAGTCACATACACCTTCATTATCCTCTGCAAAGAGCCGCTTGTCGGGAAAATTACGCCATCGAAACGTGGAGCTGAACAAACAATAACGTCATATAAACATGTGACTTACAGCAGCTAAATTCACTTTAATATGAGGAAAGAAAATGGAAATCTCCCCGTTAAGACTGACGAAGCGCAACTTAGTCCTTAAACTGTACAAAGTCAAGATGATGAACTTTCGTAACCCCACGTTTCGCGGCCTACCCTCCCCTCTCTGTGATCCTACACTGTAACAGTCAACGAGTACATTAACACGGCAACGACCCTCGTGTCCCTCTCTGTCCAATCCGCTCCGACCTGCGCACTGGTCCGCTCCGGCGCTCCGGTTTGTTTGGAGATCTGTGGGAGTGTTTACCGGCGTAGGCGGAGGAATTCCAGGTCAAGAGAGCGGCGCGTACAGAGAAAGAACCCAGCAGAGGATCGATCTTGGTGCTGACATCAAAGAGCACCTGAGCCCTCCGACTTCACGGGCTGAAACCAAATATTTATCCTGCTGTGACGTACGTACGTGTAGTAGAGGAGCACAAGCAAGAACAGATTACAGGCGGCTTTGGAAAGAAGTGTGTGTACTAAAAATGACATGCTGTAACACATGTGTACTTCATTTGTACGACCTGACGAGTTACAACATCACGACAAGGTTCTTCGATTCTTTCTACGTCCAGCTGTTTGTTGAATTTTTAGCGATATCGTGCGCCCTAAATTCTCTGATATTTTCACGCTCAGAAACATTTTTCTGAACCTGATGAACCGGCGCGTTGGTACCATTTGGGGCGAGATATAGAAACCAGGCAGTTTGACAGTTATTAGAAATAAACATGTAGCTTTCCATAGAGGGTTGGTGATACATAATTTGTGCCATCTGTTCCTCTTCCCGTTGGACAGCGTCCTGATACAGAGCCAGAGTCCGGTCCGCGCACAGAGCCTCTCCAAGCTGGTCCAACCCGGCACAGCTATCCTCAGATCTCACACTGTCGCAGACGGCTCGAGAAGTGTGGAGGCCGTCATGACTCAGTTTAGACACAACCAACTGTGGAGGATCAGCAGCAGCGCCAAGGAACGAGCTGGGCCGCAAACAATTACCGAGCAGACGGCCTTAATCATAGATTAATGAAAACTTCATGTGCTCCAGCCAGTTCAGTTCAGGTGAACTTCGTCCGCTCAGAGAGAAATGATCCCTACTTAACTTTGACTGAACCTCCAGTGAATTACCGACATTATTTTTAGTTCTCGAATGCCTCACGTTAGTGCCGAGGAAATACAAATCATTTGTGTGCAGATTAAATCATTATCTTCGCTGTCTTAGAAAAGGTGCGACAACAAACTTTAACCCGTGATCGAACTAAAACTCGACCGTGTATCGAATCTGTCAAAATCTGTGAACTCAATACGGATTATGTGTCTCTGTAAGATTAAAAAAAACACGCCAAAATCACACGGCTTGTCATAAAATTTCCACTCCACATTGTCATCTTTCCTCAGGCCGGCCCTCTGGCTCAGAAGTAAGCCGGCTCTGAGGAGACAATGTGTGACAGCCCCCCTGTGCAGAGGCGAGGGGAGCTCTATGAATAACTCCCCTTGCAGCAGTGAATGGCACTTTGCTTTCCCACAGTATTACTCAGTCTACACCCCCAACACAGCAGGATAAGCAGCGAGCCCGGGCGGCGGCTGAGCTCGCCTCTCCGCGCAGCCAATCACGCTGTGAGTGTCTAACAGACGGAAAAACACAGAGAAAAATCAGTGAGGTACATTAATGAGGACACGGAGACAAGTCCACGGTCTCTGTCAGACAGACTCTGAGTCATGTTTTACTAAATGTAAATGATCAACTGGTGTGGAAAAAAAGCGGCAGGAGAAAGTCAGCGGCCTGAACTCCACTCTGCTATACAATAACTTTCTAATTACAGAGTAACCAGTGAGAAAGTGTTGACCTCAGCAGTGTCTCATGATCACTGGAGTGCAGCTACTACACCTCTGTTATATCACCTCAGAGTGAGAGATATTAACTGAACATATAGTCTGTATTTAAATGTCAGCCCCCCGTGTTTATCTCTGTTCACTCTCAGAATAACACGCACGCTTCGTTGTGTTTTTATAGTGCTGACTTTGCGTGATATGACCGGCCAATAAAACCCATTCATAGATAAATCACTCGCAGTATTAGACTTATCTGGTACATGTTGACATGATTGTTTTTTACAGGACAAGAAGCATAAAAGCCATCTGGTTTGTGCAACAATCGGAGTATCAAGGCTGTGAAGACTGATGTTGTTGTTTTGATGATGTACAGTGCTCAGCATAGCTTTTCTATGTCAGACTATACAACAAAATACTCCCCCAAATGTAGGCCATTGATCGAAAATGAGATTTTAGTCACCATATCACCCTTATTTTCATCCTATAGTAAATAAAATGTTAAACTCAGCTTTGTCAAAACTTTGGAAGTTGTACTTTTGCTCATCTAAATATTGAGTAATACATTACTTTGAATAGGGGGTGTACTTATTTATGCTGGGCACTGTATGTATTGACAATATGAAGTATGTCACTCATGATCCAGCATATAGGACAAGCTAAACAGGCTAATCTCACAGTTCTGACCTGCATGGCTGAAATTAAAAACGCATAAACAAGCAGCATCAGGATGTTTCCCAAAATACGCCGATCTGCTGCCGACCGTGTCATCTATTGATTGTTGTTGAAGACAGCTGGATAAATTACCGGTTTTACCATCTGCACATGAATCACGGCACAGAGTACGACGAAGACGAGGATGGAAAGTTTTAGGAGTCAGTGAAGTTATCAGCAAAACAAAAACACACTTTGTCCGATCAACTTGAGTAAAACCTGTTTGTTAAGCGTAATCCCGCCAAAACACTGAGTTGTCAAATCATCACACCTCTTATTCCTCTCCATCTGTTTTCATACCATCATGATAACAAAAACTCTAACTGCTCTGCCTTTTAATTTACAACTATGATATATAGCTGGGAGAAAACTGGATTTCCCTTTAAGGAACAGACCTTCTTGGACAATATCACCACCCCTAGCAACCCATGTGCCCAGCCCTTGCTCTGTTTACTGTGTGTATTTCACCACACTGAGGGGGTTTTTCCACTCTCATATGATCTGACTCACTGGACTACATTCGACTGCTTGACATGAGTTTGTGTGTGTTTTTTTTTTTCAAACACACTGAGGTTAAATACACAAAAATAGACCATTTGTGTCCGGTTTAACTTTGAAGACAAAAACATGAAAGCCGGGTCTTCTTTGTGATTCCCTCTGGCGTCCATGTGTGTGGCATTAATGTGTCACCTCTCACACATGACTCAGACATGAGATTCGCCCCTGACAGGAAGAGAAAGAACACACTTGACAACCGCTTTAAATTTCCGCAGTGATCCAGACGGCCTATAAGAGAGGGAAGCCATCATAAATCTCTCTCTAAGTGACTGCAGCCCCAGAATGGATTCCCCGCTGGGAGAGTAGGCTGTCATTAATTTATTGTCAGACACCAGTGAAACTATGTGTCTCCAATGGGCCGTTTACGCCCTTCAATAGCGTTCAGTGGGAGGGCCTGCCATACCACATCAGAAATTTTAAGTCTCCTCTTGTGTAATGTTTTGGACGGTCTCCAGGGCACATGAATGCTTCTGATATCTCCACTCTAATATGGAAAAAAAAACTCTGATTCAGCTCCTAAAATCCATCATAAATTTTAAAATAAGAGCAGAAAGGGAAAGGAAAGGAGAGCTACTATTACGAAGCCAAAGCTGACAGCACATTGAGGGAAGAAATCAGCAAAGAGAGAAAAGCCCCTGTTGAGTCAGCAGACTTATATAAATCACATACTGCTGGGAGAAGTCAGATGACTGTTTAAGGTTGTGGTAGCAATTGGCCAGTTTTCTAAAAGAGCCATGAGCTGGATGACAATGGTTACACAAGACTGTGTGAATGAATGATACGCTATGTGACTCTTCATGCAAGAAGGATGTCTGCAGGAGAATCAACATTGATGAGCGTAGATGATAAAAAATGAGTCACCCTGACCAAAATATATGAAATCCTGACAATGAGGAGTCTGTTACACACCACAAGAAGTACCTGATGTCCCTGAAAGGACATGACAGTGATACCACAGGAGATAAAACACAATAAAGTCCCTACATTCAGTCTGGAAAACTTTGCTCAAGAGTGGTCATATCAGCAAAAACATCAGCATGAGGGAGAAAAAAGTAACTTACCTTCCAGCCTGCTGAGCTGTTGCTGTCTCCCTTGTCCTTGAAATAAGGTACACTCTTCACCATCCAGTCATAAATCTGAGACAGAGTCAGTCTGCTCTCAGGAGAGCTCTCGATAGCTTTGGTTATGAGGTCTGCATATGACATATTCCCCCATGCGTTCCGCCGGGAGGAGCTGCTCTTCCTCTGGGCAGCGGCTGCAGCTGCGGCCGCCGAGGAGGACGAGCCAACCGGGGAGGAGAGCAGAGGCACCTGCTGCTGCTGCTGCTGCTGCGGCTGCTGCTGCTGCTGATGGTGGGGGTGATGCGGGAGTTGCGGGTTCGGCTGTTGCTGCTGCTGATGCTGATGTTGCTGCTGCTGATGTTGTTGCTGTGGAGGTTGCTGGTGGACACAGTTCTCCTGACACTGGAAATCAGGACACAGGATGACGGGCTTCTGCTCCGCGAAGTCTTCGCTCTCCTCCAGCAGGCTCAGGTTGTTGATGAAGTCGTTCGTCCCGGTGGGCTCTTGCTTCACCGACGGCACCGGGGAGGACGTGTTCGAGTCGCCGGGGTTGATGAACTCCGGCCGGGGCAGGGGCCAGGTGCATGACCGGGGCCGCGACAGGGGCTCAAAATCCGGGTCAATCTCCACCAGGTGTGGCTGCTGCTGCTGAGCCGCTTCCGCCATGGTCAAAATGTGACGGAGCGGTGAGTTAAAATGTCATGTAAGTGTGTAAAAGAGGCTGAAAAGTCCCGACTTCGCCTCTGAAATGTGCGCGAACACCAAATCAATCTGTCCGGGAAAAGTGAGCCCCGCCTCGGCAGCTGAAGTCCGCGCTGAAGTCACATCCCAAGCCGGTAAAAAAGTGTATAAACAATCATAAAAAGTAAGTTTCTCATGCAGGGAAAAGTTGTTGAGAGTGAGCTGCCCGCAGGTTTGTTGTTGTTATCCACTCTTGGATGGTCCGCCGTCACTCCGTCCAGCCTGTTGACTCTCGGTGTTGTAAAGCATGTGAGGACTTACTGGAACTATCATTTGTCAGCTGACACCGCCCACGTTTGATTGACACTCGGCGAGAGCCAATGAGAGTCAGTGAAAGCGCAGAGTGAAAAAAACGCTCCTTGTTTTCATTCTTTGGTCTAGTAAACATCTGAGAGGACCGAAAAATGAACTTTTCTCTTTCACCTCAGTTTCTCTCTCTTTCTGAAAATAACTTGAATGTACTGATCAGACTTTTATTTTTATTTTTTTAATACCAAATAGAGTTTATTATTCATTCGACTTTAGTTACATAAATGGGGGAGAGTGGGCCAAGTTGAGCCACCCCAAGAAATTGATCATGTGACCAACTATTTTGGAGATGGGCAGGTTTAAAAGGACATGGGTGAAGGGGTTAGACATTTATTTACCAAAAACAACACATTTTTCACTCTTGAAAGTGAATTTAGTCTGTCATAAGTTTGTTTAGAATTGTGTTCAGACCAAAAAAGATCATTTCAAATTTGTTTCATACAAAACAACCTAACATAAAATTCCACCATTTTAGCTTAGAGGACTAATAAAGTCATCATAGTAGTTCTGGGGTAACTGAGAAAGTAAAGAAGTCTGATGAGAGGATCAAAGTTTCAGTTCAGATTGTTTAAATGTTTGACTTTTTCTTTTCAAAAATACAGCTGTGAATGTTCTGAATCACTTAAAGACATTCTCATGTTAAAATGGCTTTTTACAAAAACAGCTTTTTAGGAGTTTTATACAATAATAATATTGTATAAGTAAACTTTCCCCATACACGGGGTAAGTTGACCATAGGAGACCAGTATTTTTGTCATGCTATATTAACAAGACAGTTCTGTTTACACTCATTCTGTTGGTTTGCAGGGATGCACAACATCCTGAAATATATGCAGACACACTAGTTAGAGACAAAACTATAATTGACTTGATGTATTGATCTGAAATATGAAAAATGGCTAATCTTATCCCACTCTCCCCTACATAGGATAAAACTTTTTGGAATATTTTTAAATTTCTCATCATTTTTTTCACGCCAGTGACAACACAACAATGTCTATCCAGTGCACCTAAAGTTTAAAATGTAGACAGTTTACATTGATAAATGGCTTCAACATTTGCCAAGTACATTATACATTAAGATTTAACCTTTTATAATAACTTAATAATCAAAGACCAACTTAAAGTTCACGCAGGGCTGTTGAAAATACCAGAGACATTTCAAGGCTGCACAAGAGGAGGAGTAAAACAGACAAATAGGACCAGAATATTATGTGAAAAAATAAATTAAAAGAGGTAGTTTTATTAAGGAGGTTTTGAATGGCAGACACATGTAGAGAGAGGTGTCTCTCAGCCTTCAATAGAGCTGTTTCTGTTTTCATCTGAAAGACTTCTCTTAATGGTTTCTAGGACTAAAAACTGTCAGGAAGTCTCTGAAAAACTAAAGACTTTACCGCCATCTTGTGGTCACTATTTGGTGCTACAACAACAGAAACTCAGCGTCTTATCTCTTCCGCATTCGTCTCTGTATACCGGTGTCCAGTTAGTTTTTACAAAGACTGAAATCACCTTTAAATACATTAGTAATATTTTTTTATTCAAGTATCAGAAACACCATGACTTTAATGACAAAGTTGGCTGAGAAATATTCAAAAATAAGGATATTTATATTTCAGGGATCAATAGAATGAATTCGGATGAGTCACAAATTTCAAAATAAAAGACATTCGAATAAAAGCGTTAAAATGAAATGTGTTTGAGAGCGAATATTAATGGTAAAAAAAGATTACTTAGCCTCTTTGGACGATTAAAAAATATATATTATAATTAAAAATCGCAAAGAATCTATTCATGTAAAATCCAAGTCACCCTCTCGTTCAGCTTCTTTTAATTTGAAGTTTTTACTCCTGTATTTCCGGTTCAGCTTGATTGAAGTCCTCAGGTGTCTAAAGTTCTCTCAAGACTTGTTGCAATCCAGGGACAGATTTCGTAAGACGATGCGAAGAAAACGGAAGTCCAGCAGTGCTCTCACGTTTTATTTCAATCAGCGGGCATGTCTGAAATTTCAGGGAAATGTTCCACGTTTTGTTTGTTCCTTAATTAAAACAGTTTTTCTTCTTCTGAGAAGTGAGATGCTCATTCCGAAACTTGTGACGCGGAAGGATGTAGGCGAGTCTGAGCAGAGCGGTTTATCTGGACAGATGCAGGTTATGTTATTCTCAGACGTCTGATAGATTAACTCACACACTGTTCACTTTCTGTTTGTGAGGACGGACAAAATTTTACCTTAAGAGCCTGCAGAAGATCTCTGGTGAGCATGAAATGAGTCCACATTTAACAGCCACGTGTCTTTTGTAGTTACTCATTTTTGTAGTTTCATGTCTTAACAGGTAGATGTTTACTTAAATAAATTTTACAGCTTTTTTTTGTTCACCAGGACTTTCACATTTGTCTGTGGAGAGATGATCCCACTCCTGTTACTGGTTGTTTTTAGTCTTGACATTTGGTTTGATATGTGTTTGTGTTTTTTCAGGTTCACAGCATCTTTAAATCATCATGACAATCCAGGCTGTCATCGACTTTGCAGCTGGAGCAGTAGGTGAGTAAACACATCTATCTATTTAATTAAAAGTTTTTTTTTCCTCTCGGTTGTTTGCCAAAGATATCTACTGAACCAAACAAAAATGGGTTTATGTTTTGCTAAGTGACTCAGTAATCAGCCTCCGCTCCATTTACCAGAAGAGGAAAGTTTTGGTTTCACTCTCCTGAGGGTCTTCACTACAGAGGCGATAGTCTGTGGGAGGTAGGGCTGGGCGATGTGGACCAAAAGTCATATCCTGATATATTTACGATCTATATCATGATATTCTTATCGCAAAGTGAGAGCAAATGTTTAGTAACAGTCAAAGCCAAATATAACATGTCACAAGTAGTTCTATTTAAACTGGCCAGATGAAATTATGCTCAGCTGTTTAATGAAAAATAAAATGTGTAACCACAGGAGTAACTTTTTTTTTTTTAAATTGGAGCTCAATAAGGTGCACATTTAAATGACAAATATATCTTCAATAAAAATATCCCATAAAGTAAAAAAGGCCAATCTTTATGAGAAAAGCATCAACATTTTGACAACTATAAATGGCCAATTAAAATCAAATTACAGATTTTCTTCTCCTCTCTACCAAATCCACAGATGCAAACATGAACACTACAAAAGAATTAAACTTGACAAACCCTAGTAAGGGCAGCATTTACACGTATAAACAAAATAAAGTGCTCAGTTTAAGAAAATGCTTTTTAAACATCCTGTTCTTTCTTTTTTACTTTAATAAACAGTTAGTGGTGTTTTGAGGTAGACATATGAGGACAGATAAGTGTGTCCTTTTTTTGAAGATTTTGTGTGAGAAACACCAGCCTGTCAACAACAGTAACTGATATCTGTATATCGATATATGCGTTACGGTCCAATTCTATATCTCATTTAAAAATATATAGATTTCTTATAATTGATAAATCGCCCAGTCCTAGTGTGAGGTGCATTTTTATCACTACATAGTCAATTAAAACCATTATTTTATTCTTTGGGTGGAGTTTAGAAGTTTAAAACTCCGTTATTGTGGTGCAATAGCATGTCTATTTAGGAGAAAATGAAAATCACGAATCGACAGAGATCTCTGTTCTCTGTTTCTGTCGCCTCTGCTGTGATAAGTCACACCTCATCTGCTTCAGTTTCACATTTGTTGTACTTCCTCTTCAGGTGGGACGGCATGTGTCCTCAGCGGTCAGCCGTTTGACACCACAAAGGTGAAGATGCAGACGTTCCCTAATGCCTACCGTGGCTTCATCCACTGCTTCACATCCACCTGGAGACAGGTGGGGATTCGTGGTCTCTACAAAGGCACAACCCCAGCACTCATCGCCAACATCAGCGAGAACGCCGTGCTCTTCTTGAGTTATGGTCGCTGTCAGGACGTGGTCCGCTTCGTGTGCGGGATGGACAAAGGCTCCAGTCTGAGGTTTGAAGCTCAGACCGTGACCTCTTACATCGCTGGCTGTTGCGATAGAGTTTGAGAAATCTAATTAGAGAGACATGACGAATATTTCCGTGAAGTGAGAGTGATGTTATTCGGGTCAGCTTCAGTTGGACTTCTAGGAACTGTCATGGTTATATGTATTTTCTGCTTGTGTCAACATTGTTAAAAGTTCTGATCTCCACCCTGATTTCACTTTTTTTCCATGAACTTCTTCCTTTTTACACTCTAACCTCTACCTTTGAACTGAGTTAGTTTATTGAGCTATGAATTTAACAACCCAAGGTTTTTGGGGGTGGATTTCTAAAGATCTGTCTTAAAGGTTTTTATTGAAACCTTTAAGTTTGAAAAGATTCACATTGACACAAAAATAACAAACGTCTGACACGGTAAAAAGCCAACAGAGCTGAGTGTTTACATGTTTATCGTCATGCAAGTTCATTATTTTCTGCAGCAATCTGATGGTCATTGCTCTTCTAAGTATGCTGCAAGGTATGTCAGGAATTTCAAGAATTCTCATCGCACTTTGTAATCCAAACCAAAAGTGAAAGACTTCTTGCAGATCATGTGATAAGAGAACAAGTTTCCCTTGTGGTCATTTCGAAAGTGAATGCACGTTAACGGCTAAACTTGTAAACATCCTCCGGACTAGGGTGTGACTTCCTTATGCATGCTCAAAACCTTTTGTTCTGTGTTATTTTTATCGTTCAGTGATATTCAGAAAGCCACCTCAGGCTCCATGGCCTCCATCTTTTCGGCCATGGCTATCTGCCCCACTGAGCTGGTGAAATGTCGCCTGCAGGCCATGCACGAGATGGAGGCGAGCGGGAAGGTGGCGAGCGGGCAGAGAAGGTCTGTGGGAGCATAAAGAGACATTTGAGTTAAGTTCAGATTTTCACATGTTTGACCATGCCTGTGTTGTGTTTTGTGTTTCCAGCACAGTGTGGACGGTCGTCAAGACGGTGCTGAAGAATAACGGCCCCCTGGGTTTCTACCAGGGACTGTCCTCCACCATCGTGAGGGAGATACCGGGTTACTTCTGCTTCTTTGGAGCCTATGAGCTGTGTCGCTCCAAATTCGCACAATACTTTGGCACAGACAAAGAAAACATTGGTATGGTTTTATCATTTATACACTTATTTTAAGACACATTTTTAACATAAATCGATCCACAAACACTCGGGTCTTTGCAGGCATCCTTCCTCTGATGTTCAGCGGTGGATTCGGAGGAGCTTGTCTCTGGATTGTGGTCTATCCTATGGATTGTGTGAAGTCCAGGATCCAGGTGCACTCTTTAGCTGGCAGACAGGAGGGCTTCAGGAAGACCCTCATTGGAGTCATTCGCACCGGAGGTAAGACGTGAAAAATGGTCGTTTTCCAACCTGCCTTCGTATGTCTGAAGGGCTAACGTGCTCTTAAATACAGTCTTTAGGGAGGTGGCATTGTTTAATTAACAAACAGTGAGGTTGACACACTTCAGACTTTTAACACTTTGTGACAGTGAAAACATGACTCCATACGCGGTGCAAATATTTGAGGATGTGTGTGTGAGCATAAAGTGACATAAATTTGGATGTGCTGCACAGTAAGAGCAGTAATCGAGGTTAAGAGACTCACAACCTAACAGCGTTGAATATTTGTTAGTTTCTGTAGTGAAATGCTGAAAATGTGGTTTAACTGGAATCCCTGAGAGAAGGAGGCTGATGTTTGAGTTTTAATGCAAACACTGAATGATGACGTTTAAAGTCACCTGAGGAACCAAAGCTGTTAAAGTTCCACTAAAGGAGTATAGAGAGACATACAGCAGAGTCCAAACGTATATGACTCATCCAGGTCAAATCACGCATGCAGCGCTAAAAAAGACGTCTCCACAGTTTAAAAACCAGTCTGGCTTTTTCTGACACATGTGACTGAATGAAACTGCACATCTCCTTTTTATGTGCATGTTTAATATGAACTGAGTCACAGCCACATAACACACCATCTGCACCATCTGTCGGCATGGCGCAGAGCTGCAGACAGTGTCACTCACACTGAACGGATCAGGTCGAACGCTTGGAGAGTATCTTTAGATTGACATGAAGTGACCTGAAGATTGAACAGAGGCGAAAAATAAAACCTAAGTGAAAACACAACCAGCCTCAAGTTAACCCCTGAATGCACCACTTGCGCTCTGACTCAAACACACAGAGTGAGTTTATTGTGTTAGTGATCTGAAGGCCTGACTCATCCTGAGGGAACGGTGTGTGTGTGTGTGTCGCTGTTCGACTCTGTTTCCCCTCAGGGTTCTCCGCTCTGTACTCTGGCCTGACTCCGACCCTGATACGCACCTTCCCTGCCAACGGAGCTCTTTTCCTGGCGTATGAGTTCAGCCGCAAGTTCATGATGGAGAAAGTGGGAGGCTGATGTGGACGATGTTTACACTTGAACAGAGTATTCTGCGCTCATCCTACACGATTGTTTTTTTACTTCAAAACTGAGACATGAAATTTATATTTAGAGAGTTTTATCGAGTTTTATTGTTTATGACTTGACTGTATTCTGCTGCTCTCTATGATGCACTGTTTGCTCGTATTTTAAATAAACTTTGAAACATTTGGTACACAGATTTCATGCAGTTCTGCCTTTTAATTTATCAACACCAACAAATCTTGAAGTATCTCTAAGTAAAGCGACCCAGCTTCTTTAGTTTTGCTTCTTCAATCGTGGCCTCCATCTCATCCTGCCTGTTTCTTCTGCATTTGGGTCTTTGAGCCCTAATCTCAAACCAAAGTCTCCTATTGCACCAAAGTTTTTTATGATTCATTTTAATAAATTTGAATCCTTTCTCCTCAAAATCTCTGAAAAAATTCCTGCTTTCAAATGTTCAAAGCATAGACTGTATATAGAAGGGACAGAGTCTGCCTCCTCGCTGGGTAAAGCCACTCCGAGAACAGCACCCTCTGTTGATGGGCTGCAGTATAGGTCATAAATCCCGCCTCCGCCAGCAAAGTTTATGGAGCTGTGGACAAACTTTAGAAATTTATTACACAGAACATAATTTTTTTCTTGTGATGTTGACATGTAGTTATTGTAAGACTGGTTTGTGCTCAAGTCTGAGCTTAAGTCTTTTTAAAAGTTATTAGGGGGTGCATGTTTTCTATGATTGACACTTGATACAGCCTATGGGCGTTCAGGGATTGCATAACTCTCGCTGGGGATACGCTGTTTGAGCCGAGCATCATCACAGCGACTCTCTGCGGCCGAATGCGCACAACGCCACTGCGCAGCGCTGGTTTCAGGAAATGAAGAAAAACCCGGAAGTACTGAGAGCTATTTGGCTTCAAATCCGTAAACAGGCGGTAGGCGGAACCAAGTTGTCCATAGTTTAATACAGTCTATGGTTCAAAGTCAGATTTAATGTGAAAAGTTAAAGATGAGACCTCTCCTTAAAACACTGCTTTAAAACATATGTTATTAGCATTTAATCTTCTATAATCTTAAATTTAATGTGATTTCTTCTAGGCAGAGTAGATGGCGCCTCAGCTGATCTGAGTGTCACGTGACTCAATATCACGTGACAGTCAATTAACGGGAAAAGGAAGGTTACAAACTGCTGACACGCTGGTTAAAATGACTCAGACACTTCTCTGTAATCATTCACTTTAGGGTGTGGGTTAAACTGGCTTCAGCTGTACTTCCTTAAACTTCACAGAAACACAAAATAGTTTAAAATCTGTAAAGTAAATAATAAGGTTGATTAAATGCACAGTTTTTCTCTTACTTTACACACATTTAAATAGACTTTGGTTAGTTAGTAAAAACTATCATAATGAAGTCAGTCGAGACGTGATCATCGTCTCGTACCCACTCAGCTCTCATATTTCCAGACTTAGATGCCCTCCATTGTTAATTCATAACCTGCACTCAGCAGGTGTCAGACGACTCCTCGTCTCTGTTTAGCACCATAATGTGAGAGGGGCAGATAAGCTGAACTTTAAGATTTCCAACGAGGCAGGATCAGCTCTTTTAGTTCATGTTACCTGTTGGCAGCCACAAAGTGAACCCAAGAGTCCCACACTTGGATGGTTTTTGTGTGTATGTACACGTGTGAGAGTGTGTGTGTTTGTGTCTAAAGGTGATGAAAGCAGCAGGTGATGAGGGAGAGGGGGCAGGCCACACCCCTTAGAGACAAGAGACAGGTAAACAAGAGCAGCTCCGCTCCATCGCAGCCACGACACGGCCACTAATGATCTCCACGACGTCCAGCACGGCGGAGATGGTGACACAGGGAAAATTCCAGATCAACGCCGAGGAAAATGTGCAAGGTAAATTTCAGCTTCTTCTTCTGCTTATGAGTGAGAATGAATGAGTGGAGAAGGTGAATTATTCTGAATCTGAGGGGTGTGCTTTAAACTAAAGAAATTAACTCCACAAACTAAGAGAAAATATGAATAACCAACTTAATAGTTTCTGTTAATTTAAAACTGTTTATACTATCTAAATTACAAAAGCCATTTAGCTGGATCAAGCAGTGGTAACTGGATCAAGCTGTTAGTCCTCTTATATACAGAATTATTTATGATCCGTTATTGTTATCAGCTGGAACTCCTTTTTAATTCACTTTACCTACTAGAGCTTGAAGGAGCGTGTTCAGAAAATAAACATTTTAACATGCTTGTGGAACAAAAAAACACAGCATCACTCTATAAAGTGTTTTTGTGGTTTCGGTCCTGCAGAATAAAATCGTATTATCTCCTAACAGATAATGTAATCTATGTTACTCTGCGGATCAATACTTCACAGTAAAAGTATATTTATGGATAATACATTAATAGTCACAACAACATCTCATGACTCAGGTTGAACTATCTTGACCTCCCTCTGAGATTAATTAAATCTGCTGATACTTGAGATGTGTGGATGCTCTGTGAAGGCTTTACTGCCTGACTGCATGTTTTGACTCATCTTCAATAAAAGGTTCAGTCCCGCTGGGTCGTATTACTGTGTAATCGTGTGAACTAAACGAATACAACAATCCCTGCTCATGTGTGCTGCTGAACAAAGGCGCTATGGAAATTATGCAAAATACTCTCTCTCTCTCTCTGTACTACTGCAGTTTCTCTCTCTCTCTCTGTTTGCAGATAAAAACTCAGGCAGGCTGGGATGTTGCGGTTGGATGTTGGTGATTATTTCCCTCCTCTTTATTGCAGCGACTTTCCCCGTCACAATATTCATGTGTGTTAAGGTAAAGTCCTACTTCTACATTATGATTCCTCTTGCCCAAACAGACTACCTTCTGCCTCCCCTGCAAAAGCCAGTACCCTTAGCAAAAAGAAGTGTACTTAAAGTTCATCTTATAAAGTTCTTTTTACTTAAAGTTCATTTCACTTAAAGTTATACTTAAAGTTCATTTTATAAAGTATACTTGAGTAGAAGTATATCAAGTATACTACCGACCATGTACTTTTGGTGTACTACAAAGTATACTAATTTAATACTTCTTTTTTAGTTTATGAAAGTACACTTGAAGCATACTTGAAAGTAAACTTCTTGGTATACTATTAGTTTTCTAGTAATGAATTTCTAGTCTCCTTTTTAGTTTATAAAAGTACACTCTGAAGCATACTTGAAAGTAAACTTCTTTGTATACTATTACTTTACTTGTAATTAACTTCTAGTCTCCTTTTTAGTTGATAAAAGTACACTTCCATTCTGAAGCATAATTAAATTACCTTTTTGGTATGCTATTATTTCAATAGTAGTACATATTTGTATACTTGGCTTGTCTTTTTTAGAGTATACTCTATAAAAGTATACTCTTACAAAGAAATGTGGGAGTATTCACTGACCAAGTATACTTAGACACAAACTTTTGTTCAAGATATACTTAAGTATGTATTTGTGCCTTGAGTTTAAGTATTCGTTAGATATATTAAGACTTTAGTATAATTCTTAGTACAAGCCAAGTATACTTAACATTAACTTTGTAAACTAAAAGCATACTTAGTTTAAAAACAGTATACTTGAAGTACAGTTCAGCATACTTCTTTTCGGTAAGGGTACCCCAGTCAAAAAAGTCTGGATGGGTATTTGAATTACTGCTAAACTACTCACTATAGTGAGTTTTGATACATGTATTTCACTGTCTGTCTTTACTCTCTTTGTGTCTGAATGACTCGAACATCCAGATAGTGCAGGAGTATGAGAGAGCTGTCATTTTCAGACTTGGGCGGATAGCAGACAGGAAACCTAAAGGCCCAGGTTAGTCGGTGGGATTTCTTACATGCATTAACACATACTGTGGTGGGACAAGACTGGTTCATTACTGAGATATCCTGTTTGTTAAGTCATGTCAAAACTGGATCCGATTAGACCCATAATGCCTGGAAACTACCCCACCCAGAAGTTTTCAATGCATCTAAATAAATGCAGTAAAGCAGGATATTTCTTTCCTCGCAGGCCTTTTCTTTGTCCTGCCCTGCACCGATAACTTCGTGAAGGTTGACCTGAGAACTGTATCCTTTGACATCCCTCCACAAGAGGTCATATTTTAGCATTTGCTCAGTTTTAATAACATTTTACAATCTTCTATGCCTCTAAATGCTCCCATTATTGCTCAGTGATGGCGTAAAAATGCAGTTTTGCATATTTTGCAGATTCTGACCAAAGACTCAGTGACAGTGTGTGTGGACGGTGTGGTGTACTTCCGTATCCAATGCCCCATCTCATCTGTGGCCAACGTGTCCAACGCTCACTCGTCCACACGCCTGCTGGCTCAGACCACTTTGAGGAACGTACTCGGCACCAAAAACCTGGCAGAGCTGCTGTCTGACAGAGAGGGGATATCAGTCAGTATGCAGGTGAGGAGAAAATTATACAGAGGATGGAAGAGGAGTGATAAAGTTCTACTTGGTGAGAGTAAAAGCACTTTAAAAAAAGGAAGAAGGAAGTCAAATATGAAGATTTTCCCCTCAGTATTTGATGTTCAAAGACTAGTTACTGTGATGACCTGTTGTATGATTCATCCAGGATGTCATTAGCAGTGAGAAACCTTAGAAAATGACAAACAAGTGACATCTATGCTCCCAAAAACCTGCACAGACGGGCTTAAACTCCCAGGTTGATTTTAATTTCGGGCTGCTTTGTTGTTCTTTAGTCATAAGGGGGAAGAAAAATCACAAATGTGTCAGTAAATATTTGTCTCATCCAGTATTCATGCATCACTCAGCTCTATTAGATCTACTCCCATTGAAAAAATAACCTGGTTTTAATCGCTGTCAGAGAGTCTTTGAATAAAAACCACGTCTCCTCTTTGTAAGCAGCAGTTTTAGGGGTGATGAGTTTGAGCTGATGTGCTTTTGTGTGACTGCAGTTTTTGTTATCATTCGCCCTCCTGCAGGAATCTCTGGATGAAGCCACCGACCCGTGGGGCATTAAGGTGGAGCGTGTGGAGATAAAGGACGTGAAGCTGCCCCATCAGCTGCAGAGAGCCATGGCAGCAGAGGCCGAGGCCAGCAGAGAGGCCAGAGCCAAGGTGGATTAATGAATATTTAATTTACTCTATCTTGGCACACTCCGAGGAGGTCGTGTGCAGAAATAATGAACGTTTATCTGTGTTCCAGATCATCGCCGCTGAGGGGGAGATGAAGGCCTCTCGCGCCCTGAAAGAAGCCTCTCTGGTTATCGCAGAGTCGCCGTCTGCTCTGCAGCTGAGATACCTGCAGACCCTCAACAGCATCGCAGCTGAGAAGAACTCCACCATCATCTTCCCTCTGCCCATAGACATGATACAGAACTTAATGCAGAGGAAGTGATGCAGATAAGAGCTTTACACTATATTAACACTATTATTGCTTATATAGAGTATTTTTAACCATTTCTGTGTGTGTTTGTTGAACTGCACTCTTAGAGAAAACTTTCTATTTTTCTAGGAGCTCTAATATGTCATTTAAAGAGAGGCAAAATACAGTAACACATTATATTAAAAGATATATACAAAGCAGAAGTCAGGTGTACACTTATTTTCTCATTATTCTTTAATACTTAAATACAAAGTGCAACATTTAGACATTAGTGTCTCATCACTGATCACAATAATTTAACCAGCTAAGCTACAGGTGCAGTTCTGGAGGAGGACAAACAAATAAATTAATCCATGAAATGCACTAGAGGTGTAAACAAAAAGAAAGCACATTATAGACATTATAAAGACATGCTTTCATAGAAACTCATCCTGAAACACTGAGGAGGGGAATCTTGTAAACAATGAATAGAAGGACAGACGTTAACGTTTACATCCTTCTCTGACGTTGGACGTAGACTGTAAACAAAAGTAGGGGTGTCCCGATACGATATTGATATCGGATATCGGTCCGATATCAGCAAAATAACGAATATCGGATTATTTGGACTGCAGCTAAAATCTCCGATATCAGCACTCCGTTCATTCCAGACTCCGCTCCAGCACCTCTATCTAGCAGCGACCTGATCCAGCAAGCTGAGCCCACAAAATCACAACAACAGTGTGAACTAATGCTGCATTCAAGTTGTACTCAGGAGTCAGGATTTCCGAGCTCTGAGTTGGAAATTCATCTGGAACGCCTCCCTGAAGTTGGATTTCCAACTCGGAAAGTCGAAAGATTCTCGCCAACCCTGACTTGACGACAACGTCATAATCCAAGACGGCAGCACAGTGCATCAACAGTAAAGAGTAACAGTGAAAGCTCTCGTAATGTATCATTTATTAGCACTTCTGTTTTTTTAATTAAATGAGTGGTATATGTTGTACTGCCCAATGTCTAACTGTGAACACGGCGCTATGGTCTGTTTAAGAGTAAAATTCTGTGTTAGGCGTTGTTTACAACTAGTACAGCTAACAACAGCCGACAACCGCCAACAGCTGTCAATTGTAAACAACAGCTAACAACGGCTAAAAGTAGGCGTCCATCTTGGTTTTAAAGCTTGTTTACTAGGACGCCATCAACATCATTCCCAGCTCCGACATCCGACTACCGAGGTAACTGGAACGCAGCATAAGGTACTAACAAAGTACCAAGGAGTAAGAGTGATGTCGGCCTTGTGGCAGTATTTTTCGTTAAACTCCGAAAAAGACACTGCAGCTGAGTAAAAAAATTGTTATGCACAATATCGGATCAATATAAGTATCTGTCAGTACTGAAGGCTATAATATCGGTATCGTATCTGAAGTCAAAAAGTTGTATCGTGACACCCCTAAACAAAAGCTCTTATTCTAGTGTTTGACAAACATTCAGGTCATGAGAAGAAGAAGAAGAAGAAGATCATGTCCACAGGACACAGAGACACTCAGTGCAATCAGAGAACTTTGTTTCTGTAGAGTCCGCCATGTTTAACAGATCCCTGCTGGAGCTGTACGCCACCTTTGATGTGTCTGAGGGAGCTGAGTATTATTATTATCCTGTAGTAGTACTATAATAGAGTCAGTCTATGTAGATATATGTTGGCTGCACTATGCTCTTTAACTTTATCTACATCCAAATGATAGCTTGCAAAAAACAGACAGTTGAGCCGACTGGTGAAGTAAACATGAGCGGAAATAAATAAAAAAGAAGTCATGGCAGTTGCTTCTCCTCAACACCTGAGATTATTCTCCACTATGAGAAACGAGGTAACAGTTTGAAGATTCGCAGGATTGTTCTTCCTCATTTGGACAAAATTGAACAAGATTTTGAAATTTTTTTGAAAGCCTGTTTTTTGAGACTGCATGACTCATAAACCGGTCAATTCTTTTAGATCGAGTTTTTGTGGTGAAGTACAAAAACTGAAAACAATCATCGATGGAGGATTCAAGTCAGCTGATAAGGAACACTTGAAAAGAAAGAGAAAGGATGTTCAACTTTACAAATCAGACGTAAGAAACGGAGGATGGATTCGGATCTGGATTGTGTTTGCACCGTTTATGGCTGATTCATACGTCAGCTACAGTACATGATAAACTGCTGTGTTTCATCATTTCCTCTTTGGTGCAGATCCTACACTTTCATTTTTGCGCGATTTTTTCCCACTTTTTTAAATCCCACTGAAGGTGAGGGGCATCAGGATACATAATATAAGTAAAATTATTCTATAGTGTGAAATACTACAATTAGATTCTTATTTTCTTTGAATGAAATCCTGCAGTTTGATCAGAAATCGGAGGAAACTACACCTACGGTAACCCTTAAATGATATTCAGTAGAACTGGAAGACAGATCATGCTTTAGAGAGAGCGATACATGTACAGTTTGAACAGACTATTATCGATATTTTCATGTTGGCAGGTCTATGCATTCATGAGTTATCATGTTTTTGGACATTTCAGGTTACGACTAATACTCTTAAGGGTCTAAAGGAGAACGTAGGATGGATGTTTGAGGTTTGATGGATAGGTAGTCATTCATCCACACCGACCCCAGAGAAGAAGAGTCCACGCTGTGAGAGAGGGCGCCTGACTGTAGGTAGATTTGTATTGCCTGTGCCTTGATAGACGTTGCTGGTGGAAGAGGAAATGAAGGGCAAAGGCGCTTCTTGTGATGGTTGTTGTTGTTGTTGCACTTTTCATGTTTGGTTTGTCTCACTCATCCATCATCCTGAGGAGCGCTGGATGAGAAGGCGGACTGGAGATGGAGGTGAAAACATGGTGATGAGGCACAGTAGCTCTGATCCTGCTCTCTGAAGTCTACAATGACCGGATCTTTGCACGTTTGCTTGTTTGTGGGGCGTTCAGGGCGAATAGAAAAATTCCCAACTACATTTCTTCAGTCAGACGTTCAAAATTCCTGGGGTTAGATTTTCGGAAATGCATTTCCAGAGAAACAACCTGATGTGTGTCCGTCCAGAGTAACATTCAAGGAGTTATAAAATGCCGGATAAAAGACGGCGTTTAAAACGAGAGCTCCTGCAGACAGTGTCATTGATGGTAGGAGTGCGGGCGGGCGGGGGAGCCATGTCCAGAGGGGGGTTGATGAACGGGGGAGCAGCTGGGGGACATCCGAGGGCTCAGCTCGCCAGTCTGAAGGCGCCACAGCAGCTCCTCGTTGGTGCGACTCAGACGCTTCTTCTCGTTGCTCTCCTTCTCCACGTGAACCTGCAGGTTGGCGTTTTCCTCCGAGAGTTGCCTGAAAAGAAATCAGGAACTATTAAACACTTTCTCGTTCATGTTATCAGTGTCCTCTTTCAGGGTTGCGTTGAGACTAAACTGACCTCGACACGGCGAGATTCTTGTCGATTCTTTCTTTCAGGTCCTCGTTCTGCTGCTGCAACACCTGCAGTCTCTCCTCCAGGTAAACATTCTTTTCAGCCTGCTCAAAAACACAGGAGGAAGGTGCACGACATTAAATTCTCCAAATGATGACGGGAAAATAAGACAGTTTAATCACGCTAAAGCTCGCCTCTGCTGTCAAACAAAAGCAGAAATTTGAAGCCTACTATTTTCTCCAGCTCCGTGATCTTCAGCTCCTGTTGATGAATTTGTTGATTCTTCATCTCCAGGACTTCTTTCAGACTCTTTAGGTCCTCCTCGATGTGTTTATATGGCGCCAAAGCGTCCTGGCGACAGCAGATTACATTAGCAAAACATTAAAATCTGTTATCTGAGATCCAATAAACAAACTGCTTTTTATTGCTCCTGTCCTGTGATGTATGATTCAGCGGTTACCACTATCTGCTCATCGGTGCTCCTGCGCAGAGCTTCCTCGAAGCGTTTTGCTCGATCTCTGAGGCTGCGGTTCTGAAACGTCAGCGTGTCCACCTGATCCTGTGTGACCACGAAAAAAAGTTCATGATCATCGACAAAATGAATCTGTGGAAGAAAATGCGTCGTATTGTTTTTCTCGTTTACCTGCAGTGACAGTCTGATCTTTTCAAACTCCTCCTCCAGAGACTTGGTCTGCTGCTCGTGGGCCATCTTCAGATCTGACATCGAGAAATAACCCGTGATTATCGGTGCAGGGTGAGGGAGACAGGAGACGTTTTAGAGGTTTACTCACTCTTCACAGTCCGGGTGTGTTCCTCCTGAAGAGTAGCCAGAGTGTCATTATGAGCTGTCTCCATCTCCACCAGGGAAGCCTCATGGTTCTCAGTCATCTCATCGATCTGGGGCCGAGACCGAAACAGAAAACAGACACACATTTAGACATTTACAAACTGGATTTGTAGATGTTAAAAAGCCTGCCTGAACTAACTCCATGCTCACTTTCATCCATTTAGCTTGTATTGAATTTAACGCTCCCATATTTCTTGGTGAATTTTGGCCTGTACATGTGGGAGAAGTGTGTTTTTCCACATGTAGGACCTAACCGTGGAAAATGCTTCTTCAGTGGGTCACAAAGGGGCGTTTCTCGTCCCTCCAAGTTGTTTCATAACCATCCAAAAACAAAAAAACAGGTTTTCTGCAAACAACAGAGTCGTTTGCATGCTCACACTCACACACACACACACACACACTCACACACACACTCTCTCACTCACACACCTGCTCCTGCTGTTTGAACCGCAGATCCTCCAGCTCTCCCTTGTGTTGGACCTGCAGGCTCGCGGCCTCAGCCATGTGCTCCGCCTTCAGCCGCTCCTCCAGCGCTCCCAGCTCCCTCTGCTGCTTCGCCCGCAGTCCCTGCAACTGCTCCTCGAAACGACGCTCCTGTTCCTCCTTCTCCTGCTGCAGTTTCTCCCAGTGTGCGACACTAAAAGCTGCGAGGAAAGCAAAGGAAGAGCTTGTTTCATTTCAATTAAATTTGGCTCATTTATCCTCGACTTATTTAGTGACTCATTTATATAAATTAATTGATAATATGTGTTGGATTATTCTCCTCTTGCTTATATGTTCTGGCCCTTTTTTCAGTGTACACTGTGTGCCTTCAGCAGAGTGGTTTTAGGTCTCCCTCAGCCCCCCTCCCCTCCTCCATTCACTGTATAATACATGATATACAGTAAGCAGAGAATGACTCACTGCTCCTCCGCTCCCCGTGGTGTCATTTCTGTCGTGCTGTATCCCACTTACCCACTTCATCCCTGATTCTGGCGAGCTCCAGGGACAGTTCCCTCTCCTTCACAAAGGCGCTCTCGCTCTGAAATGCAAACACAGACGGCGGTGAACACCTCTGAACTCAGACACATCCGGCAAACCCACAAGATCACTTTCGGTTTTTGAAGGGAAGATTTCACACAGATTTTAGATACAGAAGAAAGAAGTTAAACAGCAGTGTCAGAACATGAATATGCACATGGTTACAGATGAAGTAACCCCAATGTGCTAAATGTTCGGATGGTTAATGGACAGAAGGTTAAATATAGTGGTAAATTACATCAGCACAGGCATGTGGTTATTAACCCGCAGGAGCAAAGACTAATAGTGCTGATAATGCAAAGCATCAGTATTAATTTCCTTTAATCCAGCTCTATAATTCCTTTCACAGCTGTGTATCATCATGGTTTTATGATATGTTCTGTTAATTTAGTTTTCTTCTCCTGGTTTTCTTTGAGCGCATTTTGTGTATTTTCCCTATTGTTGTCCAGTCTTGTGAGTTTTCAGTTTGTGTTTGACTCTGTTTCCCTCCTGTTCTTGGTTTTATTTCTGTCACGTAGGCAGGGTTAAACAAAGGAAAAGGATCCTCAAAATGCGGACAAAAAAAAAAACAAAAAACAGATTTATTAAAAACAAGACTAATGATTTTAAAACCAAACTCAAAACGTACCTAATTAAATTTTATATCATTAACTTTGAGTATCTTAGCATTTATCTTTTTCTATTTTTAATGACAGGATTATCTTTTATTGAGCTATTTTGGTGCTCGTATTTTAGTACCTTTTACTGTTGTTTTTATTTCATTTTAGTGATTTTTTTTTTAAATTTTACTTTATGTCACGTTGTCTTTAGATTTTAACCCAAACCTCCTGTTTTTCCTTATCTTGGATTTCAAAATGGCATTTCCTCGGTGCGCACATTCCTGTTTCTATGAAATCAAGTCCTTTTTAAGTTAATGCATTTTTACCTCCACCAAGGAGGTTATGTTTTCGGTAGCGTTGGTTTTTTGTCTGTTAGCAACTTTACGGAGAAAGTTACAGACGGATTGACCTGAAATTTTCACCAGAGGTGTGTCTCAGCCCCAGGAGGATCCCATTACATTTTGGTGGTGATCCGGATCGCCTTCTGGATCCAGGAATTTTTTTAAGGATTCTTTATCATTGTGAGATAGGGCACATTTTGGAATTTTTACATTTAACTCTATAAAAATGTCCAGAGTCTTTAGTAAAAAATGACACTAAAGGATCTCAATGAGTTTCATGAGGTGTCAAAGGTTGATCCTGATCCAGACAAAATTCCGGATACTGTGAGCTGCTTGGTGGAGGTCTGCGCTCTCCGAGTGCTTTTCTACTAATACATGTTTCTGTTGAGTTTAGATCGTGAGGTGGGAATGAGGGGTTGGGTTGGGGTAGATTCTGCTATTCTTTGTTTCTTTTATTCCTTTTTCTGTGTAAAGCACTTTGTGCTACATGGTTGTGTATGAAAAGTGCTAAAGAAATAAAGAATGATTGAAAAGAATTAAATGAAAAGCAACAAAAAATGTCCAACAAAAGACACTGGTGAAAAAATCACAAGGAGACTCGGGACTCAAAGATCGAGGACACAGACACACACACAGAACCAAACAGGACAGAAGGGAAGACACGGATTATGGACACACACTGGGTAATGAGCAACAGGTGAGGCAGACGAGACACAGGTGAAACTCGTTAGTGATTAACGAAGGCGATTAAAATAGGTTAAACTAAAACCAGACAAGAAACACAAGGAACCAACTACTACAAAATAAAACAGGAAATAAACACTAAAAACTGATCTAGAGAATAAAACACAGAGAACAGGAGGGAAAGGGGTCAAAGACTGGACTACAGGGGAACAGGAACACTAGGGAAAATACACAAAATTTACTTAAACAGAACATATCATGACAGATTGAATTTATCAGGTGAGCAAAACTCACAAACCATTTTGTACCTCTGTCAAAATAAACATCTGCTCTCTGTTGTTGAGATAAACCTTTGTCGGGATGTCCTGACATGAGAGAGTCCGAGGATCTGAATCAGTGTCACACAAGTAAAGGTCAACCATAACAGCTCCAGTCTACTGCTCTAATTAAACTCTATGTCATAATACTGGATGGTTTCAAGGTTTGTCTTGTTTCTAAAACACTCGAATACGCAGAATCTCTGCAGCACTGCAGTTTGACATCTCTGTACTTCAACAGCTTTACGGCAGCCCGTGAAACTTTACGACAAAATAAATCAAAATGCAAGAACAGAAGAGTGATTTGATTAAACGTTTGCACAGACTCTGTGTAATATCCTCCTGATGGCTATTGATCAAAACCCCCAACAGAGAGAGAGAGAGAAAGAGAGAGAGAGAGAGAGAGAGAGAGAGAGACAGCTCTGCAGACTGTTGCTGAGGAATAAATCAGAGATCAGACAGAAACGAAACAAAGAGAGAGAGAGGCAGAGAGCAGAGGGTGAAGCATGTTTGAGATACAGTTTGTCTCGGCATGAATGATGTCACTCTGTAAAGGTCTGCACGCATAAAGTCATGAGGGAGACGAGGCTGTGACCTCATGAGCGATGACGGATGGTCAGCGTCTTTTTTTACCCCTCACTCCTCAGCTCCACCTCTGCTCCGACCCCATCATCTCCTCCATCCTCCTCTTAACGCCCCCCTGCTTAGATCTCCAGGGAGCAGCTATGTGACATGAATGGTAATTTATCAGTCTGTATCCAGCCATCACCACGGCAACATGACCCCCTATTCAGAGCTACCACTACTGATTGATTCATTATTGATCTTTGTCTTTTGTTTGTTTTTTGTAAATCCTTTAAAAATAGGACTCAAAATTCTCCTGGAAGTCCACGACGACATTTCAATTCTTGATGTTTTCCTCACTCTGCCGATCCGACTATCCTCTCTATACTGTGCGTTACAACTCCTACAAAACAAACATACAAGAACACTGAAACAGAAGCAACATCTTGTACACTCCTGCGATCAATCGAGTTTTAATTGGACGTTGCGAAACATCCACAATGAGCAGCTGAGGACTTTCTGTCCTAAAGAGACGTAGACACTGTTTTATCATCCAACTATGTTCTTAATAATGCATCAGAAGTGAAAGTTTTCCTCTACACATGATCCTACAGATTAACAGAAAGCATATTTACACTAAAAAACTCACAGTTAGCATGTTATGTAATGTCCTGTAACATGTAGAAGAAAAGAAAGAGGGACAGTGCGACGGACAGCTCACTTTGACTCAGCATAATCATGCAGCTTTTCACTCTCTCCACCAGCCCTGTCTCCAGGAAACAAGTGAAAATAACGCTGCTATACACACACACACATGCGCACACAAACACACACACACAGAAAGGAATCCTCTGTGCTAAAGCAAACCTGCTGCCTGCAGAAGATGCTGCCTTTACCGTTTGGTCCAGACAACGCAGAGGAGAGAAATGGAGCCGACAGCAGCAATGGCCCATACTGGGCGAGAAAACAGCAGCATCACTGAGCTGACGGAGGAGAGAGATGGAGGAGGAGGAGGAGGAGGAGAGTGCCAGGAGAGAGAGGAAGGGAGGGAGAGAATCGGGTGGAGGAAACAGATGGGAGGAGAGATGGGGAAGACCGAAAGCCTCACCTCGTTTCCTGGTTTGCGACCGGCATCATTCCTCCTGCAGGAACAAAGACGAGCAGCCCCAGCCCAGCTCTGCCCGCCCTCCTTTTAAAGCTCCTCCACCAGCAGCAGCAGCAGCAGGCTCATATCACATTCACACGCATGGCAACACACAAACACACACACACACACACGTATGTGCGGTCTTTTGCATCAAAAATAGAGTGGAGGAGGAGACGATGGGGGAGGGAGATGATCAATAAGTGCCCAATTATCTGCTCTGTTACTCAGCTCAGGAAGAACGGTGCCATGCAGAGATTTCTGCCACGATGAGGAAAAACTTACTTCTTATTTTAGTGTAAACCTTGCAGTAATTAAATAAAAGTACAAATCTTTACCTCCACTTCTTAAATCAATCTCTAAACCTTCGAAAACCTAATGAGCATCTGTGTTTCACTGAAGGAGGCCGAACTCCACCTGTGAAAGTATTATCAACCCAAAAATAAAACATCAGAGCCATAAGTTTGGTCTTTGTTAAAAAATTGAACACCTGTGATTGAAAACCACCTCGAGAAGAAAGACTATTACAGAGAGCTCTCACATATTAAAGTCATATATTTCACAGCCCTCCTCCTCCTCCTCGTGTCAGACCATAGTAAATATTCTGCCCGTGTCTTCAACATCAGTCTCACTAAAAGCACAGCGAGGTCCAGGAAGGCAGCGCTAATCTCATCAATCTGCTCCCACTGTAAAGCAGGACCCGTGGGTGGGGCCGGGAAATGGATGAAATGAGGCAGAGAGCAAGAAACCAGAGCTTCATCGTCCAGGTTGGAGAAGGAGAAACCTCAGCCACAGTGTCAAACAGACAGTATTAGTCTCAGTATTAAATGCCACACAGCTCCATCGAATCCTTTTCTATCACTTTGGAAATCTTCAACATCTCCTCAGGGACTTTTCCACAGATAAACCTTTGATTCAAAAAGCCACAACAATCAGATTTTAAAGCCGACGCCGACTCTTGAAACAAAGTGAAGCTGACAACAAAAAGCCAGATGCTGCAGGTGTCCTTCGTGCGAGCAGACGAATCCCACTTTGTAGTTTCTGTCTGAAGTCTGCAGCAGCTTCCCTCTCTAGTTTTCAACAACAGGTTTGTGTTTATAAACCTGGAAGATACCTGCATGCATTTTTACCTTCGCATGTTTCTATAGGAATGTCCAACTTGTCTGCAGATGGTCTCTGCTGCGGCCTACCTTGAGGCAGAAGTGCTGGGTGGTGATGCTGAACACGTCCATGCACAGCGTGGCCTTCTTCAACTGGGCCTGCAGACTTTGCAGCTGCAGCTCCTGATGCTCGCAGCGTTCCCGGAGCTGCTGGATCAGAGCTCGGTCCAACTCCTGGGTCCTTTCAGTCTGGATGGATCCGCTACCTGTCGCTGTGCGTCCTCGAACTGTTTGTACACAGAGTAAGTAACAGATTCAGGGTTCAGGGTTTAACTTTAAACTGTTTTAACTTTTTTCAAATTAAAAACAAAAGACGGTTTACTCATAATAACATTCATACTTTCTAACCCTGACAGTTATTTAAGGGTGCAGATAAAATGAGCGCTTAGTTCACTCTCTCACACCAATAAAGTGCTGATAGGTCAGACCTCGGTGGTTTACATCCTCCCACAAGAACAAATAGTCTCTCTCTGTCAACTCACTGTTTCTCACGTCAACCAATCAGCATCGTCTTCCTCTCTCACAGTGAGTAATAGTGAGTTTCATATTCAACGTCACCTCTGCCGCTCTGTCTGTCTGTCTACTCTGTGTAAAAAAATGACAAAGTGCTGACTTCTTCTAGTAATCTAACCCCGCAGGATTTCCAACCAAAGGAGCCATCCTAGCATTACAGCTACTGTAGCCTGTTGCCATGGCAACAGCAGGCTGCCATGGGTCTTGTAATAAAAGAGGGGAGAGGGAGAGAGAGAGAGGTGGGTAGAGCCTCTGTAAGATTTAAAGCTACAGTAGAGGTTGGAGATGTTGCAGTATTGACGGCAGATTTTGAGCCTTTTGTTCTTCACACACACACGATATCAGCATGTATACTTAAACATGCAAAAATACACACAAACACACACAGAGTAGACTCACCAGGGGACTGAGGTTTGGGTGACACCACAGCGAATCTTTTAGGAGACGACTTTGTTTGTAAAACAGCCTCGATGTCCTTCTGCATTTCTTTCCTGGAGGCTGAAAAACAGAAAATATCATTTAGAGAAGGTCATGAGCGTCTTGGTGCAAAACTCTTGTGTTAGAAATTCTTTATGGCACTTTTCCTCCATTATCTTTCATACTTTTAGAGTTACACTTTTTGTGCGTTCTCGGATTAAACAGCTGAACTGAGAGGCGGAGCATGCAGAGTGGGGACTGAAAAGGAGAAAATTAAAAACTAATACTGACACGTTTGTCATGAATACTTGACAAAAACTGTCTTAAAACTTTTTCACTCTATTCAATTTTGCTCCCTTGTGTTTGTGCAAAGTTTCCATTGTTTTCTTATTGTTTATAGGCATGGAAATGTTATTTATTGACATTATTAATGTTTATATCTTTGTCTGATGGATACCGTGTGGTTTGAAATAATTTTTACATTTTGTTTTCTTAGTGACCGCTGACAGGGATCCTTATAAAGAACAAAATGTTAAGTCTGGGGTCAAACCAGGTACAGCCGCATAAAGGACTACAGCCGCTGCCTCTTGATTTGCATTTTCATATAACAGAGAATCATTTTAATCTGACTTTGAATTTTCTTATTCAGGTAATATTCTCATTAAGTTTTCAGGCCTTTTAAAAAAACACTCAAATGAAACCATGATGGTAGGATCACCCACTGTCCACTAGCTGGAGCTGCTGCTTCACTTCTCCAAACCGGCTCTGCAGCAGGAGGATCAGACAGCTTCGAGCTCACAGAGAGATTCACTCTGTGACCACCAGGTGGTGTCAATGCTCCATATCCACTGTTTAGATTCCAGAGCACTAACTAACTACAGAGACCTCTATATCAGTAGAGGGGGAGTCAATTAAAATCAGTATCACGGCTGTGATGCAACACTGTGCAACAGTTAAGAGTCGGTACAGTAGGATATTCACGATTTCGGTTGATTATTTTTCTGCATTTGTTTATTTATAGACCCTTAATCACATCCGCAACCTTGACAGTGAACATTAAGAGCCTGTCAAAAAGCATTTAGACATAAGAAGGTGGAAATTATTATTATTTTTTATCTGGCAGGTCACTTAAAAATGTTTGAAAACTACGAATACAGATTAATCATCCGTTAAGATTTGTAAAAAGTGTTTTTTTTTTGGCAGGGATTTCACAGAAAAATAAAGTGAATGAGTAAATTGGAGGCTGAGGGCTTTGACGACAGAACCAGAAATGATAACCCATGACCTGGGAGTCAAAGCTGTAAAACATCATAATTTGACAGAACTCAACAGCATTTATCATGTCGAGCTCATTCTGCAGACACCACCCTATAACGCCCCCTTTAATCTCACATGAAGTCATGTGACCACAGCAGAAAGTGACCTTGAACCGGGACATGATTTGTCTCTGGAGATATGTCTTTATACTCATAATATGCAGCGTGTGTGAGCGCAGGGACGTACCGAGCGGCGAGCAGCGCTGTGGCGGCAGACTGCGGCGCTGCAAACTGGGGGCGTTGGGAGGCAGAGAGCGGCTCTGAACGGGGGAGGCCTCAGCGGGGGGCGCTGTGGCTCTGTGAAGAGGGGTGTCATCGCTGCCACTGCTGGGATCTGAGGAAGAGGAGGAAGAGGAAGGGTGCCAGAAACGACAAAAACAGAATCAATGATTGAGTCAGAAAATTGAAAGGTTACAGTCTTCACTACAATCACTCTGAATTATTATCCTGTTTCGCACAATACAGTCCATCTGAATCTGTGACAATGAGGACTGATGGTTTCCAAGAGTGTATGTGATCAAAAAAGTAAATAAATCAATAAACTGTATCCACCCTCACTTCCTGAATCGACTGAAACTAGATCTGAGCTTTCATTCCCAGCCAGAGGACGACTCAGACCCACAGACTTCAACTTGTTTTAAGCAAACCAAGTTTTAGAGCAAACTATACACATATCCCACTCATAAATAAGTGTCAATGTGTCGTTTATCATGAATATTTTGAGCGTTTTCATATCAGCGTGTTATTTTTTTAAAGATTGAAGTACTTTACCGAGCCTGAGAGGATAAATCAAACCATCAGAGTGAATATCTCTAATAAGGACATGTCTGTTTTTGTCCTTCCAGTATCAAATATCAGCAGGTTCACTATCTTTCCTCTGAGAGTATCTCTATTCAAACTGCGGACCAGAAAAAAAACGGAACCATGCAAACATCTTAATTATTCATCACAGTTGTTGTTACGCCACCAGCTTTCTGTGGAAATGAAAAGCTTTGTTTCCCAGATAAGCTGAGGCTGTAGCAAAGAGCGCAGAGACGTGTCACAATATATCACGACTATTCTGCTGTCGTTCACACTGTTTCTGTCTGAATAAACTGTCTCTGGATTTCATCACTTCTGATGAATCAGGATGTCGGTATCCTGTGTCAGTAGAAGTGAAGGATTGCAAACCTAGAGGGCTTCAATTACTTATCATGAAATATTCAGCTCCTCGATCGATAACAGTGCCGACCCTAAAGGAAACGCAGCGCAGCTTTGTGACCTTGACTTAGAAAACTATTCTGATTCGAGAATATCTCAGACTCTTAATTTGGAGAACAGACTGCAAAATCTGCACGGCAACACAAACTCAGATCATGAAAGAGAACCGTGGATCCACACTGACGTCAGAGAGCCCGAGGCTGCTATGAAACCTCCGCTGGGATCACAGAGACTCTCCTCACTGCGACAGAGTCTGAATCCACCTGGGAGAGTCAGCAGAAGCTCTTTTTTCCCCTCTTTTTTTTCCAAGGGCGTCTCTAAATGAGGTTTAGCCGAGGAGCTGATTGGTTGAGCAGAGAGGCTGGAGGCTGACTCACTGTTAAGTGCTTGTTTCTCGCTGCATGTACTGATCAAATCCCTCCCCTGCTGCAAGCTTCCTGTGATCAGAGCTACAGCAGCAAGGAACAATGACTCCATGTCCCTGATTACTGATGCACAAGACATGAGAACAAATACAAGCATGATGTCTATCTGTAGATGTTTAGTTATCAGGCCTGTGTCATGCAAATACGAAATTAAGACTGCAGCAGAACACCAAACACCTTTTTAAGCTCTTGTAAACCGAGCAAAGAAACAGATTGTGCTCCTGCACTGTTATCGCCTCACAGTTTTCATCAGAAATCCTTATTAGAAGAATAAAACTGAATCTGCTGCCAAGTTGCTGCAGGGTCATGTAATGAGCTTTGGAGTAAAAAGTGTCTGCTGGTCGATTTTCCTGCAGGACATGACAAGAACAGGATTCAACCACAGGGAAAAGAGGCTTAGTATTCACTCCATAGAGCCGCAGAGATTTGTGCTGCTCCGACTGCCGTGGAGTCAAACTGGGAAATGGTTATTCGCACAAAGTCTGATTATAAAGAAGAGGGACTAGTCGCTGCACCATCTAGGAAATCCTACAGACTGGAGGAAATAGTGGAGAAGTGTGTTTATAGAAAGTCCTCTGTGCACACCAAGGTCTAGGGCTGGGCGATAAACTGAAGATTTAACGATACCAAAATTTACGACGTTAACAGATGTCATTTTGCCCATACCGGTATATTTGGTGTCAAAAAATAAATAAATAAAAAGCCTCTCTTCCACTAGGATTTAAAACAAAAGCTCATAATGAATTTCAAGATCATCTAGATTTATAACTAATATTAAAGAAGACACAATAAAACCATAGAATAGTCGTATATAATACACAATATAAATATGCATAAAATAGAATTATTCATTTTAAAGTCCAAGCTTTATGTTTGAAGTTACCAGGGGAGGTCATTAATCTGTTAAATGTTAATAATCAATGTTTATTTTTGTTAAAATTAAGATTGGCAAAATGATTATCAAACCTCCAATCTAGGGCTGGGCAATAAGACGAAAATTTACAGATGCTGAAATGTATGTCAATAACCGATGTCATTTTGCCCATATCAGTATATTCAGTGTCAAATAAATAAATATATAAAAGTCGGTTTTGGATGTGTGTCGGTAGGCTATGGTCTCATGTCCCTTTAAGATGCTGTCCTTTATCAGAGACGTGACTCTGGTTCAAAAGTTGTAGTGGCTGGAGCGGCAGCTGAAGTTAATGTGGGAGGGGGTGAGCAGCTTGTGGACTAGTTATCGTCCATTTATCGTGATCGAGGTGAACAGCTCAATATATGTTAATATTGATTTGAGGACATATCGCCCAGCCCTAATAAAGTCAGTCATGGAGTCCCACAAGGTTCACTAATCAGACCGATTCGTTTCACTTCATTTGAACTTCTTCTAGGTAACATTATGAGGTAATACAGCATGAACTTTCACTAGTATGCAGATGATGCTCAGATTTCTATATCAATGAAGTCAAAACTAACCAGCTGTCTAAACTAAAGTAGAAGCAAGAATTCAACACATAAAGACCTGGATGACCAGGACTTATTTGTTGCTCAACTCTTTATCATTCTTGTAGGGCTGGGCGATATGGCCTCAAATCATTATCACAATATATTCAGCAGTTTACCTCAATAACGATATTTTGGTATCGATAAACTTTTGGTTTATCCCCCAGCCCTACCTTCTTGGTCCCAAACACCAAACAAAGAGGTTTTCTGATGATGTGACTCCCTTTGATGGCTTTAGCCTGGCATCCAGCACCACTGTGAGGAATCTGGGAGACCTATTTGATCAGGATTGGTCCTTTGGCGAATTTTAAGGACACCATCTCAGTATCCAGACACATCTTGTCCCAAACAATGCACGAAAACTGGTCTTTGCAAAAGTTACCTCTATGTTTGATTGGCCTCTGAAGACTGATTGAACTCTTCTCTTAGAATTGAACAGCTTTCCTCTCACTATCATAGAGCCAATAGTGACCTATTGCCCCTCTAAGACACTGCGCTCCCAGAATACAGGCCTGTTTGTTGGACCTGACAGAGGAAATGGAGTTGTTGTTGTTTTATAAATAAAGATTGATTGATCCCAGAATGAAGCTGCAGCTCACACTCAGGCACTGCGTTTTTCAGGGGAGCCTCTTCGCTGACTGTGGCTGCAGTAGAGGCATACGGTGGCATACTAATAGCACATCTCTGTCTGAGCCAACAGCCTGAAGGGAAACACTGCTGTGCAAGCTGCCAGTCATATATAAGCTGTCTGAGCCACTCCAGAGCCTTTCACTATCTGCTAGACACTCATCTTTCCAACGCTGAATCGATACAGATACATTTTTCTATCCAAACAAAATAGAGCAAATAGAACAAACTTATCAACAGCCCCACAAAGCAATAAAAAAGAAAGAGAAGCTAGACTTACAAGGCTGAAGGGTTTCATCCTGAGCTGTGGTTGTTTTCTCCAGAATCAGAGTTAAAAATGGTGCAAAATAACCCAGAAAAGTGAACATCTGAGTCTTTAAAGAGGGACACAGAGGCAGTGGGAGAAATCATTATCTGGCTCAGCAGCAGTGAAAGTTTGAGGAGACCCACGGGCGAGGAGGAGGAGGAGGAGGAGGAGGCTGGTCAGAGGTGTCGGGGTAAAAACGGCTTCACAGATTATCCCGTCATATCACACTCTGAGTCGCACTGGTCCACACACTCTGCAGCCGCCGGCTCTACTTTTTTATTTCAGAGATTATAAATAGAGAGGAGAGACCAGTGCTGACATGTGAAGCAGCTCTGGTGGTTCGGTCTTTAGACTGGATAGGAGGGGGGGCGACCCTGCAGGAGACAACAGCTGTTTGTCTGCCTGCAGCTAAAGGAAGTGTGTGAATCCAGACGGTCAGAAGAAAACAGTTAACATGCGGAAGAGGGAAAGTGAGCCGTCGGCTTCAGAAGAGGGGCTGCAAACACGACAAAATAAGAAAATAATGATAAAAAAAAATCTTTTCTTTCTTTTATTTGATCACAAACTTTAGCTTGCTTAAAATCTGTAAATCAATAAATGTGCTTCCCATTAGGGCTGCACGATTTTTCCCAAAAATAAAATCCAGATTTTTTTTTCTTAACTGAAACGTTTAAATCGATTTTTGATTTAAATTTTTTTTCAGTAAAAACTTCACCAGAATTCACTTCAATAAAAAGTTTTTCTATCATCTCTCCAAACGAAACCACTGAAAAACGATGTAGTGCATATGCCAGGCACGAAACAGGATAGAGAGGAAAATGGATTTGAGGATTTAAATTTTTTTAACATTGTCATAATCATATAGTCCGATTATGATATAAAATCGATTTATCGTGCAGCCCTACTTCCCATGATCGCGCTTTATCCACGATTATCAATCTCAGACACTCTTTCATAACAGCTCCATCGATGGACAACAAAACCTCATCTTCTTCACCATTAATGTATCTTTATTCACGACTTACTTTCATCTGAAAAATCAAGTTTGATGAGTGTTTGAAGAGATTTGTGTCATCTGCAAAAAACACAAACTTCAGTAACGCAGAGCCATCAAATAGTTTATAAATACGCAAATTAAAAAGTGACGGTCTCAACACTGAACCCTGTGGGACTCCACATTCAAGGTCCCTATACTTAGATGTAGCCTTGGAAATTGTACACACTGTTGTTTGTTATCTAAAGAACTATCTAAAACTGTTTATCTCTAATTTATACGAGTCTATGTTGGGCACTTTTCCACTTTTATAGTTTTTAAGCTTCTAAAGGAGTTCAGGTCAATATCGAAAAGCTGTTATAGAGGATAAAACATCAAACAGAGAGGTGTTGAAGTCTTATCATCCCTCAGATAATAGTTTAAAGCTCCACTGTTAAAACTGAACCATCAATATCAATTGGACTCACTCTCTATTTCTCTATTTCACTCAAAGATAATCAGCGTATCAGCTAAATTTTCTCCGTAATGATTCCTCTTAATAAAAGCAGCAGGAAGTGTACGAGACTCGGCGTTGGACGGGGCGGTCTGATCTGATCCTGATAAAGTGCCGCAGTGTGCGGGCTGATGAGAAACAGCAGAGGGAGGAGAGACTTACAGATTTCTTCATCAAAGCCGCCGTCGAGCAGCAGCTTTCAGCGCCTACTTGTGATAAAGGAGTGAAAAAGGAAGCGGAGTGACTGTTTCTATGGTAACCGAAGCTGCCAGGACGACCGCTGAAACTAACGAGGAGATGTAGATCAGAAAAGAAATCACAAACCTGGAAATTCCTTTTAATCAGACAGAGCTCTGCGGGATGTCTGCGGCTCACTCTACATCAGCTGAAGTGGAAAAGCTCTCTAACCCTGATTTACATGAACCTGCAGCAGAGAGAGAGACTCACGCTGAGACGATCTGCAGGGATCACTGTGGCTGCTGTCGTTGGACTGGTTACTGGACACAGACGAGACGCTGGAGGTGCGGACGAAGCCAAAGGTGGCCAGACGGGTGGCCGGCAGGGCGGAGAAACCCGGGGGGCGGAGACCAGACTGGCCTGGTTTGAGCAGGAGGCTCTTGGTGGTTGTTTCCGGACCTCTTTCTGCTGACCTCCTGTGCTCTGCTGTAAATGAGATTAATACTGTATGAGTAAATAAAACCTGGTTGCAGAGTGAATGAACATACTCTACAATCATAGTCACTGATATAAAAAGATGTCTGCAGCTTTATTTGGAGCGAATACGAAGTCAGAACAACCACAACCGCACTGCTGGGATCACATCTGCTCCGATGACTAAAAGACAGATTCATGTCACTGTTACTAATCTCATGCTGGAATCAAGATGAAAAACATACGACAAGCATCACTCCGGGAGGAAATATCTATTAATGAGGGAGCGCCATGTGTCGAGCCTGACTCCATCAGACCTAAAGATATGCAACAAGAAATTTCCAGGATGTGTGAGTGAGATTTTTGCGCTTCAAAGATAAGATGAGAAGAACTTTATTTATCCCCAAAGGGAAATTCAGTGGGATTCGAGAAGAAATGATGAAAAAAGTAAGATGCAAAAAGTTTCACCGCATCCATCCGAACGCGACAGGAGAGGAAAAGGAGATTTTTCTGACATGGAGTCAGGAACGGCAAGGCAAAGCAGACTAAACAGGGAGTTTTGGAGGCTTCACAAAAGAAAAGAAGCACTTTGTTATATTGTTTTCACTTTTGTGTCGCTCCAAACCCTGATAAAAAGAATTTAAAAAAACTGTTTCCTATCTCTTTCTTAAAAACTCTACAAGACACATCACTGATTTTATTTTGAGATTATCTCCGTCCCACCTGTATGATCCTGGTGGCCCTGGCCGGACGATCCGGCTGCCTGAGCAGAATGACTCGGAGACGCAGCTGACCTCTGACCTGTCTGCTGAACTCTGGCCTTGGCTGCAGGCTGCCTGGTGACGGCTCCTAACCCCAGCTGAGGCCTCAAAGCTCTGGGGGAGCGGTAGGCGCCGCCTCCTTCCTGGGAAACATGCTGGTGAGGGACAAATACAATCAGTGAGAAGCTTCTTTATCTTTTCTTTTTCAAAGCTTTGGTACTTTTCTGATTATATTAGGGCTGGGCGATATGGCCTCGAATCAATATCACGATACATTGATCAGTTCACCTAGATAAGTACTCCTAATAGACGATAACTACTCCACAAGCTGCTCACCCCCTTCCACATTAAGGTTGGAGCTAGGGTTAGGGTTAGGGTTAGGGTTGGAGCTAGGGTTAGGGTTAGGGTTAGGGTTGGCGTTAGGGTTAGTGTTGGAGCTAGGGTTAGGGTTGGGTTTGGAGCTAGGATTTTTCTGAGTGCAATGCACCAACTCCCGAGTCTCTAGGACGTTCCTAAAAAAATTTGATTTTTTCCCATGGGAATGCATGGGTTAGGATTAGGGTTAGGGTTGGAGCTAGAGTTAGGGTTAGGGTTAGGGTTGGAGTTAGGGTTAGTGTTGGAGCTAGGGTTAGGGTTGGGCTTGGAGCTAGGATTTTTCTGAGTGCAAAGAAACAACTCCCGAGTCTCTAGGACGTTCCTAAAAAAATTTGATTTTTTCCCATAGGAATGCATGGGAAAAAAAAATTGAAAAATTTTTTTAGTGCCAACCCAATTTTTCACCTTCCAGAATTGTGTTAGGAGCACGTTTCACGGCACGGGGAGTCTATAGAACCTAATTCTGGGGG